CGTATCAGGATCTGATCATCCGGGGGGGCGAGAACATTCACCCTCTCGAGGTAGAAAACTGTCTTCTCGCACACCCCGGCATATCCAACGTATCCGTGCTAGGCGTCCCCGACGAGCGCTACGGAGAAGCCGTTGCTGCCTTCGTGGTTGCACATGAAGAAGGGGAGGGCAGGGTGACTCCTGGAGAAGTCAAAAGCTGGGTCCGAGAGAAGCTGAGCCGTCATCTAGGTAAGTCGAACTAAAAAGAATCAGTGCCATCCTGGACATCTTCCTTGCACCCCCTCTCCCACCGAAGCAAAAGCAAGGGCACTGTCCCAAGTGTACGGGATGGTCGCCGTGTTTTCGTAGCCCTGGCTTTGGCTGTTTTCTTTAAGATCATCCCGCCAAGGCTACCCTGGCAATGCTTGATTTTGCTTATTTGAAGTTATCATCCCACGACTGTTTTCCGTTGCTTTTTTCGATATCTGGTGGATGGGCCGCTGGACTTCGCGGCCTAGCTTTGCCCATGATCAAAGTTGTGTTTCAGGTTCATTTCCTTGCGTCGCTGTCATCAAACCACCCCCTTATCTTACCCGTACCATACCTTACATCCACCCCCCATGGGGCTGCGGATGGTTGATCCTATATCCGCGATTGATTGACTACTTGACGAAATTTGGCCCTGGCCAATCGTCGTTAGCGCGACCTCGAAAGGACCAATTGTCTCGCTGTCATTTATATCGCAAAAATATACATCCACATCGCCGTGCAACCCCCCCAAAACCTCCATGTGATCCATGTGGAGTCCACGAGAGTGGCAGACAAGCGGTGCAAGCTGCCCATGTCCGTATCTCGCTGCATGTCCGCTTGCCTTAATGCTTGTCACGGCACAAAGGGCCTGTTCCCCCTTTTTGAGTTGCATTTCTCGCTCGCTCGCCACCGTCGCCCACTCGGCTGTCGACCCGGCGCACCAAATCCGTGCCATTAACTGAGCTTGAGCTATCGACCATCCCAACGTTCAAGCCATTTTGCTTGTGCACCTCGTTTCTTCAAGCCTAGCTCCCCGGAGAATTTCCCCATGGATTCGTTTTTCCTTTTTTTCGTGTTGCCTCCTGTTTTTCTTTTCTTTTCTCTTTCCCACCCACATTTGATACCAGACTGCTTTGCGCTGACGCTAACGACGATCATTTCCTGCTCGGCAGTGCCTAAATATATATTTTATATCGATGCCAAAGACTTCCCGAAGACCGCTAGTGGCAAGATACAGAAGTTCAAGCTTCGTGAACTTGCAATTGAGCTGCTAAAGGAGGGCCATGATATGAACTGAGACCTGAATTGAAACAAGCTCAAGCGGCCGAAAGGAAGCTAAGATATGCTGCTCTATGGTTATCTTTCAGTCGAGCAACGTGGAATCAAATGGACGTTTCAGTGGGTAGAAACGGGTTTATTTCTTTTTTTTTTTTTGATATGAGCGATTCAACTTTGCCCATGCCCCTTTCTGCTGCTGCCCTGCTTCGTCACCCCTCCTTGTCGCTCAACCCCTGCGACGTTTTCATTAATATATAGAGATGTCGTCATCTATACAAGACACACTTGTCCCAGCCATACGCAGAGTTACTGAACAGCGTAAAGTACAGATAACTAATGCATGTACATACGAAAATGTTGGAACTCTCCCTGTATCCCGTTTGTGGAAGAGATATATACAAAATCCAGTGTGCTATCTATCCGTATAACCAACAAGGTACGGACAAACAACCGAACACCGAGGTAACTCTATCAAACATTCGGTCAAGACAAGTAAAACGAGCAGATCCTTTCGACATTCTCCATACGGAGTTCGTCGATGACACCAGAACATTTGTATGTGGACGCCTGGATGGGCCAATCACGTGTTTCGAGGTTATCCATCCAAGATGAGCGTCAACAACAAGTTAACATGGACAAAACCATCGCTTCTGAAGGATCTTCGTTAAGAGTCAAACCAGCCTTACAGTCAGATAGGCTCTGTTTACTCCATCCAACTATTTTTGGCCATTGAGACCCGTTTCTCGGCACAACTCCGCGGCTATACCATATACCATCCGCCTTAGCTTCAATGGAAGCAACACCATACGTGACAATCTCAGGAACAATACCCCAGATAGCCAATCACCGACTATGACGATTCTGTGAACTGCCGGTAACACTGATAACATTGCTGAGTAGGGCGGGCGTTTGTATGAGTACTCCGTACAACTTCTGCCCTATACGAATTATAGGTGATTGATCAATGATCATACATACATACCGGGTAGAGGGCAATTTCTCCACTGCTTGGATGGCGCATGACCCCAAATAAGAGACGTGGCCCTTCAGATCATGGACTCTTAGGATTCAGGGGAACTTGAGCATCGTATGCAGAATGCAGGAGGAAGTAAAAGAAAGCTGTGAATAACTTCTCATCTTACAACATGCTTAACAACAGCTTTTCTGCGTGGCAAAGGCTTTAAACCATTGGATTGTTTGTGCTTCCCTTCTTCCATATGAGGTTCATGCATCGAGTCCTTTATTTGGAGAAGATATGTGCCTATGACCAGCCACATGTCTCCACTGAAACCAGCCATGCCGTATTCACTGTCGAAACTGGGGAGAGATTGTCGAGCCAATTGTACGGAGTAATTCCCGACTGCTTATGGCAGGATTTACCTAGGCGTTGGAAGAGCATTGAAACTTGACGATGGCGTCGCGGCGTTCGCCCTCTTACTAGCTACTTCTTCCACGAGCGACTTCATGGCAATGACGAGAACTTTGCTTGCAACATGTGGAACTCCATGTGCATCATCAATGGGTTCTGACTTGGACATGCACGTTTCAATGCTCTAGTGCCTGACATGGCTTGTGATGCATGGTATGACCTTTTGAGAACGTACTATGCGCAAGAGGCCTGGCGCTATCTGTCATGCTGAACGACTCTTGAGGAGCCTTTGTTCATCTCAATCAATATCTCCCGTCATTAAAGTGACGCGGCTCGAAGGCATATATAATTGATGCCCAGTGTTTATTTGCATCGACCAGGTTGATGGCTGAGAAATATCTCGAACCCAACCAGCAGGATAAAAGCGGATAACCACTGCCCAACAAGACCTTAACCATGCATAAATCTGTAATACCATACTGTGTACTTCCTACCAATGCCTGCAAAAGGCCAATTCGGCAAGGGACGAGCTTGTTCATCGACCTGGGGCCGATATATTATTATACTTAATTATACGAGAGCCAGCGAAAAGCAGCAATTAAGCATTCTGCCGTGGGATATGCACATACTATGTATATATTAATAGGAGGCGAGCTTGACGCGCAATATTATCACCTCTAATTTTACTCTTCGCACGAGTTCAAGTTCGGTGCACGTCCTCTCGGCTGGAGGTCTCGGTGTTGGCCCTGGAGGAGGCGAAAAGAGCAACTTGTTTAAGAGGATGTCATGTATACACCGAAGCCATACTATGTACATCTGGTGAGAGCGCCACTCGCTTCCTTCGAGATCAGCCTCGGTGAAGGCAAGTATCTGCACAAGTGCTTATATACCGGCTGAGCATCTAACAGAAGGATTGATGGAAGATGTTGGTCGCTCTTCTTTGCCGCTGGAATCTGCCAGGGCGGCTGATTACGGGGATGGTAGTGGTGTTCTTGCTACTCGCTCTCTTATTCTACCATCAGATGACTGTCTTTCGAATGACTGCTTCGCTACTTCGTGCTCTACCAGACGCTCTCGATAGGCCAAAAGGTCGCGACTAGGAGAGAGGCGGGTTTAGACTTTCCTCCCATCCCCTCCAAAAAAAAACTCCAGATGCTTCTTCTCAACTGCCGGCATGCATATCATTCTTTTATATATATATATACCCCGTAATATTGTGTGTTTCGGTTTATATCCGCCGGCCTTTTCGCTCTTCTTGTGTTTTTGTTTTGATCTCGCGCGAGAAAGAAAGAAAAGGTTATTCACGCACGGTCCGCGGAGAAGCCCCTGCCCTTCTCCGTGTAAAAGCAGCATCAGGAAAGCCTTAAAGTGGCATTATATCTGGATTAAAACGGTTAGCGTAGGGCAAGGGAAAGCAGGGGTCCAAGCTTCTCCCTGCATGACATGCTTACATAACCCTGCATAGGCATAAAAATAGAGCAGAAAAGAAAAAAAGAAAAAAAAGGAAAAAAAAGAAAGAGAAAAGAGAGACACTGGCAGAAGCCTCTTTTTCTTCCTCTTTTTTTTTTGGTGCATGCCGCGTTTGGCGCTGTTGATTTAAATGGTTGGCATGTTCACTTGGGATGCTATTATGCTCCCATGACAGAGATGTGACAGGATAAGTTACGATCATGTACACTGTGTGGGTTTTCATCCCATTTATGCACAGGACATAACATCACACAAGCCTGTACGTCTGTACGTATCAAGGTGAAGTCCGTCTTCGAGGCCGGATGCGGCATTTTTCCTAAAAAAAAAAAAAACAAAACGGGCACACAAACCTCTTACACGGGACTTCTGGTCCGGCGCTCCTTTCATCTCTCCTCCGATCCACACAAGAAGAAACAGCCCCGTCCCTCCGTCCTCCACCTAGCCATCAAAAGCTATGTACCGCAACTCCGTGCTCCGTACAACCATGCAACCTGCAACATGCAACAATGAACGAAAAACCGATCCCATCTGTACTCCAGCATCGTTCTTATGCAAGTGCTCGATGCGTCCTTGGCGAGATCTCGTTCTTCATAGCCGAATGTATACGTCTCATCTTCTCCCCCTCTGTCTCTCTTCCCCCCTGGTCGAGGGCACGAACAGTAATTTAATCCCTGCCGTTCGTATCGGGGCTAGGTGAGTGCACGTTCTCCCAAATCCCTCTCATCGGCGATATTCGTCCCAACTGTCTTTTTTTTTTTTTGGCTTGCTGGAGGTATCTTCCACCCAAGGTTAGTATGGAAAGGTACTTCTGGTCTTTTCCCGGCCGGAGAATACATGCGAGGTTCCGCGCTAGCCGCTCGCAGGGGGTAAGCTTTTCTGGAACTTACGGCGATGTATGGCGTATTTACGGTATTTACAGGTAACATACCAACAAAAGCAGCGAGAGAGACAAACGAGCAAGAGTTCGACCACAAAGAGTCGAGGTATAAAGCGTACATCGTACATGGTAGAGTTGATGCAGACAGACACTTGGTTCAACGGTTCGTGTTTGTCGCTCTCCAAGGAAAACACAAGAGTCCTCTTGTTTCGCCTTCCCCAGAACCAGCTGCGAGACACCCCCGTCTTCTCGCTGCAACATCTCCATCTCTCCATCTTCTGCAGTCTTCGCTGACTCAAAGGCGACATCTTTTTTTTTTTTTTTTCTTTCGTTCTTCCCTTCTCCCCGGTATCAGCGCCACGTCACGTGTTTTGCCTTTTTAGCCGGTCCAAGTTACGGCACAGCTAAACTGTTGGTTGCAGATGATAGTATTATTAGTTTCGTGACACGGCGTAGCTAGGTGAAGGCGTCTCGAGGAGCTGGTCGTACAGATATAAGCCATGCCATGCCCTGTGCCCTTGCCATGCTCTCGTCTGGGGGCGCACAAGCGATATGAGATGTGGAGATAAAAAAGCATCTATATGATGTGTTCCCTATCGCTAGGGATGGCCATGGCCAGTTGCCATGGACAGGGTCGCGCAGGAGTGTCGGTAAACGGTCCTCTCGTGCCATCATTTTCCCGTCAGGGCAAGGGGGTCCTCACCGAGTCTTTTGCTCTGATGTAATATTATAGACATTCAAGGAATGGTGGATTCAGCCTCGTTTGTTCTTCGCTGATCAGCAGGCAGGGCAAGCGAGTAACCGAGTAACAAGTTAGCGTACTATGTAATGAAATAGATTGATTCCCAGGTCAACGGGCTAGGTTAGGCGGCGGGCCGACAATCCCATCATCCTTCTTGTCGGAAGTTTTTTTTTCAATGCTCTCTCCCTCATGGCTTGCCCTGGCTTGCCCTGGCTTGCCCTGGCTTGCTGACTGCATGTTGGATTCAGCAAGGAGCTCAACTTCGCTCAACCGGCAGTAGCCAACAGGACAAGAACAGATAAGAACACCCCCCCTACGTTTCATCGACGGGGGCCCATCCAGACCGGCAGCCAAAAACAAGAAGTCGACGAGCCCTTGCTGTCTCGAACCAAGCTGTGCAATTCCCATATCTGTCGCCCCGTCTAGGTCTAGCGAGCCGTTCGGGCGTGAAGGGGTTTTTCCCTCGTAGACAAGGGCAAAGCAACCCTTCCCTCCCCAAAAAAAAGGGGGGGGAAAGGTCGAAACTGGTCGACATGAATATGTCCATGTAGTAATGCGCCATTTAATAATTTCTCCGCCCTGGATACGTTTTTAGTGAGAAACCTTGACATGGCGGTCGCTGAGTGGATGGGCCCCCTTGCCTTGGAGGGGAACTCTGGACTGGAACGACTGGGAGACGTTTTCCGGGATTTATTTTAAAACAGCGTTGATGCAAGGCCGGCAAAAAGTCTGAAACCCTTTTGTTGATATTACTTGTCGGCCGGGGGCAAGCAGTATAAGTCTTGCTTAGTTTTGGAGATATGCCGTGCTCCATCGAAGCGGGAAGCAGGGCGTCTGTTCACGTCAAACGGAGCTCGTACGTAGTAGACTCGAAGCAATGACAATTCGAATTCGGACTGGATGCGCCCTCTTAGCACTATGCTTGTCTGGCTTCTTGTCGTGTGAGAGTCTCTCGAGACAGAGAGGGTAAGCAGTTCCTTTTTCTCATCCAGATACGAAGACGCTCGAAGCTTGAATGCAATTGACTTGGTCTTCCCTTTCTCCATTAAGCGATGAGCTTTTCTTTTTTGCTGGCTTTCTTCAAACTTGAATGACTACTTTCTCTCTCATGCTGCCTAAGTGCAGCGCATGCTGCATCATGCATGTATGGAACAAGCATCCCCCCCTCCATCCCGGCCAGTCACTGGGCTGGTTTTTCCTTTTCCTTTCAACTTATTTCATCTTTGCTTTTCATCTCTCTTGGCTGGGGGAATTTCGAAAGGAACTGGCGGCTAGCTAGTTAATTGATCGGGATAAGGGGAGTGAAGAGTACCCATTGAAGGAAACAGGCACGCGACCGCCATTTCGCCCTCCAATTCCATAACAATCGCAATAATAATAGTAGCGGTCCAAGTCTAAAAGAGGAGCAAGAGGAGCTCTTCTGAAAGGTACTTTTATTAGGTGAAATCTGCCCAGCCAGTCGGGATGTTTCTACGCTGAGAGAAGAAGAAGAAAAGAAAGAAGCGTGTGAGTGGGCGAGGATACAGCCGGAAGAAGCAGCCTGCCATGCCGAGGAAGAAAGAGTCGAATCAGCGTCATTCTCAGATGTCTGTCCTTTTTGCTACCTAATGTAGAATTTATATCTTGTCTCTTTAACTATGTATGTGTATATGTGAGGGTGGGTGTGCCAGTGCTAGCGAGGCGTTTGATGGAAAAGTAAAGATGGGTGGCAGAGCATGGCATGGCTGACCCGTCTCAGCCATCCACAGGGCAAAACGGGATGGGCTTCGGGATATCCATGTTGGGAAGAGAGGTTGACCTTCGGCACCGGTTCCCGTGCATCTCTTTCACTTGACCCTTGCGTGGCTGTATGGCTCCGGTTTGTTCGTTTTTATCTCCGTCGACCGGGGATCAACTCTGTATAGCATCAAGAGGGACTGTTGTAGATATACTGTGTAATGAACAGTCCTGATCTTCGGCCAAGGGACGACTATGTCTGCCATCGATCTGGGCAGCCGGTAGAACAGAAAGGATGTGGCCTTGGCCCGACTTGTCAGGAGAAGAAGAAGAGCGAAGAGTGACAGCAAACGCTTCGCTGGCTCTGACTGTTGCTGCCTCTTATTGCTCTTGTATTCCTTTTGCAAGACTGACGTAGGTGACTCCGTATTATCCATCTGGATGTGTGAGTATAAGTACGCAGCAGACACAGGACGGGAGGCCCAGCTATACGAAGCGATAAGCCTTTTTTGCAGTAAAAAAGAAAACAAGAACCAAGAGAGGCGAGATATAAGACTTCCCCGTCCCCGTCTTCCATCTCTCTTCTGTCTTCTCTTCTCTCCCGACTTCTTGTCCTCATAACTCTTCCCTCTGCCATAAAACTTCCTCTTCATCGTCTTTTCTCGACGTCACTAAAGCAGCATCGGTAAGTAATAATGACATCACTCGCTTCTTGCCCCGTATTGGTATTACAGCACCGTGGAGGATTTTCTTCCCCCACAAGCCACCTCTTTTTTCCTTTTTCCTCGTCTTTCTTACCGTCTCGTTACCGTATCCAAGGCTGTCTTGCGGTCACAGGCGATACGCCGGCAAGGCGCTTTTCCTCCCCGTCGAAGTCTAGGTTACCTCGTACTGACCCTGTACTGGCCTTGTATCGTGGGTATCGCCTTCGTTTGAGGTAACCGTGGTATCCCGTATCTTTCACTCGGTTTTTTTCTCTTTCTCCCCCCCGTTTTTGCAATACGCGCTCGTTCTTTTTTTTTTTTTTTGCAGTACGAAGGGGAGGTTGAAATATACAACTTGAGGCCCTCTTCTTCTTCTGCCTTCTTGGACTTCTTCTTCTTCTGCCTATTTCTTCCTGACACTCTCCTCTCTCTCTTCTACTTCTTCTTCTCTTCTTCACTCTCCTGACTCTCCTCTCCCCCTGATAGTAACATGCAATAGCCGGTGTCTGATGGGTTCGTTATCCTGTACCGTCGTCCCTCGTCCCGTCTCTGCTTCGGCCCTGCGACTCTTGCACGCCCATTCTGGTCGCCTCAGCTCGCTCCAGAGAGACTAGTCCTCGTTCTCCTTCGTCTTTCCAGTCTCTATTGCGAGTGTCTTGTCGGGTCAGCAGATATCTAAAGACATCAGCCCTCGAACGGCACAAGCCCATATCAGAAAACTCCCACAGCCACAAACCACCACATCGAACAGACAGCAACTCCATAATTGGCCGTATCGAACAGCAAGGAGGAATAGAGGAAAGAGATAGAGAAAAATCTCTTCCTTGTCGAGAGCTTGCACAGTTCAACCGTTCCCGTCCTGATCATCCAAGCCCCCCCCAGCAGGGCTCACCCTAGCTAGCACTGCCCTTTTCCCCCCTTCCCTTTCGACGATCATGGCTACCACCACAGTACCGATCGTGAACCACGAGCAGGCATGGCCTGCAACGAACTCCGAACACCAGAAGGCAGCAGGCTTCAAGGAGTGTGCTCCGGTCCTCGAGGTGTTGACCACTCCAGCCCGGCCGACGATCGACCTGCCCGAGTCACTTCGATGTGCCGACCTGCCGGGCGTCATCCACGAAGAGGACGAGGAGTCTGCCACCGAGCCGTCAGAGCCAGTCACTCCGACCAGCCTCACCCACCATCATGCCCTCTTCCACGGACATCCTCACCACCCTCGCATTGACCCGCCCAGCAGAGATCCGGTCGTCAACGTCCCGGTCGAGGTGCTCAAGAAGCCCATCATCGTAAATACCGAGCCAACTCCCCCTTCTACTCCCGCAAAGCAGCCTGCCACTTCGACTCCGGCTGCCACAGTCACTTCGTCCGCCGCAGAGACTGCTCCCGTGCCTATTCCAGCTCAGCGTCCGACCACTTCAGCCTCCCAGCGCGCGTCTCCGTTGAGAAAGGCGTCCAAGTCGATCAAGGGAATCTTCCGTAGACCAAGTACATCCTCCGAAGCCATGCCACCTCCTCCGACTCCTTCAGCCGCGCCGGAGCAGAAGAAGCTGTCTTTGAACATGTTCCAGGCAAGTGATGCTCGCAAGGGGTCCGTCTCCTCCACGAACCAGCACTCGCCCACCTCGTCTCGAGCCCACTCACCCCAGTCGCCATCTTCACCCTCCAGCACCCTCCATGGCGGCCAGAACCCGATGTTTCTTGGAGTCACACCTCCATCAGACTCTCCCTTCGCTCCCAAGCGACCAAGCCGCTCGTCCACCGGTCTCAGCCTGCGTGAACGAAGCAGAGTCATGTTCGGAGCGACGCCTCGACCCCAGCGTGAGGAAGATCATCGTATCCGATCCCCCAGCCTCGGTGACGTCCAGAACCAACCAGAACGCCCTGGCTTCTCCATCCCTGCAGTCTCCGGTGCCGGCCTCAAGGCTCGACGCATGAGCACCAGCTTACCAGACGACTTCGACGTCGGCACCTGTCCGCTCGCAGACGAGTACACCAACTGCAGCAAAGTTCCTGGAAAACGCAAGGAGATCGGCCGTGGAGCCACAGCCACAGTTAAGATCATGTGCCGCAAGGGCAGCGACAAGTCAAACCTCTTCGCCGTCAAGGAGTTCCGTAAATGCGGCTCAAAGGAAGACAAGCACGAGTACGAGCAAAAGGTCAAGTCGGAGTTCTCCATCGCTCATTCGCTTCATCATCCCAACATCGTTGAGTCTTTCCGTCTCTGCACCAACAACGGTCGATACAACCACGTCATGGAGTACTGCTCGTACGGCGAGCTCTTCTCGCTCGTGCAGAAGAACTACCTCCAGCCCAAGGACAACCACTGCTTCTTCAAACAGATGGTCCGCGGCGTCGCTCACCTGCACGAAAACGGCATCGCTCATCGTGATATCAAGCTTGAAAACTTGCTCCTCTCAGACGATGGATACATCAAGATCACCGACTTTGGTGTTTCAGAGGTCTTTAGCGGCCTGCACCCTGGTCTCCGCAGCTCCGGAGGTGAGTGCGGTAAGGAAATGGGCGAGATCCGCCTTTCCTCTCCTGGCATCTGTGGCTCCCTGCCCTACATCGCCCCTGAAGTCCTCGCCAAAGAATCCAGCTATGATCCTCGCCCTCTCGACGTCTGGTCCTGCGCCGTCGTCTACCTCACCCTTCACTTCCGCGGCAACCTCTGGCCCTCTGCCAACCGCGAGAACTCCAACTACGCGCGCTTCATCTCTGGCTGGGAGAAGTTCCTCGCCTCTTCACCCGCCGGTATCCCATCCGACGAAAAATTCCCATCCTGCGGCCCTGCCTTCAAACACATCGGCAACCGTAACCTCAAGGTCCTCTTGCTCAAAATGCTTCATCCAGACCCATCCAAACGCGCCACCATCCAGGACGTTCTCAACGACCGCTTCATGAAATCCGTCGAGTGCTGTGCTCCCGAGGCCGGCAAGAAGGGCGAAGAGAAGCAGGACTCCGTCAACATCGACGCTGCCGGCAAGTCCAGCTCGAAGCTCGCGAGCAAGATGGTTGTGCAGAAGATTCACCACCACTTCCCCCCTGAGAAGAAATATCTTCCTCAGTACCGCTTTGATATGGGTGACGGCTACTAAGCCCAGCGTCGCCGCCTGCAATAATGTCCTGTCTAACAATAAACAGATTTTTTTTTCTTTTCTCTTTTCCTTTTCTCATCATACACCGATACACAGGGAGGCTTTTTTTGTTCTGCTTTTTCGATCAACTTTACGACTTGCATTGGGGGTTTTAACTGGCTTTTTCTTTTCAACATTACAGACAACCCTTTTTAATCATCGAAAGACTGTCCTTGCCTCTTCACACACTTGTGCAATAGGCCCTTTTTTTATCCTGTTCAGAGCGTACATACACTAACGGCCTTTATATCCTTCCTTTCCCCTTCTGTGTGAATATTCAGGTGTTGCTAAATTGTTTTGATTCTGGCGTTTCTTTTCCACTTGTCAACTTTACTCTCCCCGTGCAAAGGGTCGAGGGTTCTCTCATTCTCTTTCTGATTCTACCTGCTTTTCTTTTCCCCCTTTTACACTGTTCTGCTACAACTGGTTATGAATGAGTACACGGTGAACATTTGCTCTTTTGAAGCCCCTTTTGACTGAATAACCCAAAAAAAAAAGAGGGAGAAAAAAGAAAACAAACATACCATGCCCCTTGGAAGAGGAGAGAGGATAGCTATGGGTTAATTGTTTTGTTGTCTTGTTTTAATAATTAATGCCAATGGATTGATTGTTGGGTTAACTTGTCGCTGCTCTCTGCCTGTCATCACCATCATCATAGGCTGGCTGGTCGGTTGATGCTTGTCTAATGATGCTTAGCCACCGCTACACTAAGTCATCATGAGATATCCAGTGTCACCACCAAGCGCCAGTATCACTGGTCCATTCGGAATAACCCAGCTAACATCCATACACCCCATACATACATACAGCTTGCATCGATATCTTTCATCCCCGTCGTACCGCGCATCCTGCAACCCTCTTGGCAACGGCCATATATGATCTCGGAACACCCGTCGTCTTGCACCCCTTCGCTGCTCTACATACCACACTTGGCGAGACGAGAGAGAACTCTGCATTCTTCACTCACATTCCCACACAGCCTGGTTGCCAACGCCAACTCCCACATCATTCATCCCCAAGGCACCATCCCAAGCCCAAGGCCCAGCCCAGCCCAGACTCAGCCCAAGGCAGGCCAAGTGGTATACACTTGAAATCTTGCCGGCCATTTCCGACCAAAGTTGACTTTCCACGCCGGGCGCGTATGTACGATGCCAGCTCATCCTTTTGTTTCCGCAGGCGCCAAGGGCGGACCAATAGAGGCATGTACGAAGCTCGTTTGACTTGGTGAGCCGATGGGATAGGGATAGGGATAGGGATAGGTTCAGGCCATTTACTGGATGCCAGCTACGTAAGCTATGTACGCCATGCCAAGTTGCAGCACTTCTTACAGCGGCAAAGATGAAAAAAAAAAGAGAAAGCTAGTTGGTGAAGGTAAGAGCTTGGGGCCAAGGGTCCCTGATACGCACACCTCCATATCGATCTTGGGGTTGGTATGGGGTAAGACATCCACTGCTCGATCTTCAGCGGGCCCAGAGGAAAGAAATGAACGGATAGGAGAGGTCTTGTCCTGTCTCCTATCGTCTGGATTCCAAGTCGATGGCTGAAGGTATGTGTGTATAGATGTATTTTTCCTTTCTTTTGTCGATACCTTGGCTTCTTCCCCCTTTTCCTTTTGCCTCACCGAAAGGGAAAAGAAGATCATGATGAGGCTTGTTTTTTATGAGCTTTCTTTTCTTCTTTCCGCCTTACATAGTAAGGCCGCATGAAACCAACAGATCACGATCTGTGATCTTCGCTGAGTATACATACTTATATGATCTCTTTCTTTCTTGGCTGGACAGCTCTCAGGAGGCGGTACGTACTATGTACGACGGGGACAAGGCAGTGCAGTTCTGCAGACGCCCTTACTATCGACTTCCAAGAGGCGGGCAGCATATGGAATATTGGCATGGCTGAAACTGATGAAAGGGATGGCACCTCGTCTTTCCCATCTTTTTCTTTCATCTCCATGCAGCGAGCCCTCGAACCCTGCCCTTGGTATATATATAAATAGTACTATGTACTGTATAATTCTGCAAACACTCAAGTGACTGAGGAAAAAAAAAAGAAAGGGGATTGACGGTGCATTGCATGAGGTGCGCCAGTAAGCATAAAGCCAGCAAGCAACAACCAAATATAAACACCGTGACACGGCGGGAAGATCAGGAGGGAAGGGGCGGGCTGCCAAGCGCCCATGCCAAGCGGAAGACTTGGCGCGCAGAAGGAAGGAAACGCCAAGCCTTCTCCGTGACTTGCGATGTAACCCGCGCGCCAAGGCCGGCTTTCGAGAAGAAGAAAGGCGCACTTCATACATACGTTACGAGGGTTGCACGGCTGTACCGTATGCTTGTGTATGCAAAAGGAGGTCATGGTATGTATGTACGGTATGGAAATACAGGTTGCTGTTTTAACAGGTCGTGTTATATTGTACAGTAAACATGGCTTTAAACCCAGGCATGTAGAAATACAAAACATTGGTATGTATACATTAGAACGATTTAAACCTCGACTTTGGTCGGGATCTTGACTTCTCCTCTCCTCCTGTCTGCATGAGGCACTCCATACCGTCGACCGACGCCCTTCTCCCCACGGCCGTCCAGTCCAGTCGTCTCACGGCTGACTACAACGTCACGGAATCGGAACTCGAAGCGTCCCTGCTCAGGTTGGACGCGAGTCAACTGTGCCTCTTCCCGGGCCTTTCTTCTCTCCTTCCGGAAGGCCTCTACTTTCTCTTCGGCTTTGATACGTTCGATGAACCGGTTGTTACGTTGGCGCGACTCGCTTGAAAGAGTTACCTCGTCGTGCGCAGCAGCAACCATGTGAGGATGGGGGATGCGGACGTCTGCCGGCTGCAGAACCTGTTGCTCGTTCGCTCCCTTGCCGACCATCTCGATGTTGTGTGGGGCACGAGTTACTTTGGCGATGGCCTCGGGTGTGTTCCCGGCCACGTCGCGCTCGGCAGCGGGTAGCTCTGGTGCTGCTGAGAATACTCGTGCAGCATCCACACGGGTGAAATTACGGGATTCAGATACAGGGTAGAATATTTGCGGTTCGGTGAGTTTGTGTACTGGTAGATCGTTTATCGGCTCGTGTGGTTGCTGTTTCTCCCCCTTTCCTGCAAGACGTGTCGTCGGCAGCATGTCACGTATTGCACGGCCGTACGGAAGAGCCATGGGTTTTTTCTGCTTCAGCTGTTAGCATTTCCACCCATATCGAAGAAAAACGACAGTATAAACAGGAATTGAATATTCTTTCTCAGTGATCATTTAAATTTTGATTTAAGCATTCTCCCTTTAGGGAGTCATCAAGACTAATCGATTGTTTTTATTCATCATGGAAAGGAAGATACCGGCCATCGGCATTTTCTTTCAAAGGTATAGGGTGTGCGGCGTATGGGATGATGCAGACGGGGAATATCAACCTACCTCGGCCTTCATCCTCTTCTCTAACTCAACTAGCCTCACCACAGCACCAATACGCCTCATGTCAACCCCAAACATGACACTCACAAGCCGAACACTGTTCCCTTTATTGACAACCTGGTCATAGATCTCATTTCGCAATTCTTCGCTCAACACGCTTTCACTGACGAAAAAGGGATTGAGAGGGAACGGCTGTAGTCTGTCAGGGTTGTTGGGGTCCTTCGAAAACCCACGGTTGCTATCACTGTCTTCCTCTTCTTTGCGGACTGGTACTCCATTTTCGTAGTCCGTAAGATAGTTCGTGCTCTTGGGCACAGGATCTTTAAACACCGCGCCGACACCGTTTAGCCAGCGAAACATATCCGCACGGCGTTTTGAGACCTGGAAGCTAGGCGTGGAACTAAAGGCGCGGGGTCGAGGGAGAGATTGACATGGCGAAGAGGATGCAGCGGATGATGTGAGGGAGGTCGACGAGTGGCATATTGAGGAAGACTGTGAGGATGGGATGTGGTGTGAATTGAGCAGCCGTTGTGCGTTTCTTAATCGTGGAGGCATTGTGAGAACTAAAGATGGTGTATAAACGGGGAAAGAAAAGCCTCGGGGTATTCTGCGAACAGGACAACTAAGCCCTCCGCTACTCTGACCGGCCAATGGATCGGAAAACGTTGGTTGCTGAAGCTGGAATGTCTGCTTAATACGAAGAGAGAAAAAGTTGAAGCTTTTGAAGAAAATTCGATGGTTAGATATTCACGTGACATTAATGATGACTAAGCTGGCAAGGATTTGATAAGCATTTTTGCTCCTTCAAGAAGAGAAAAAGGACGACGTTTTGTGTATACTTGAACGAAGCCTGGAAATCATCACAGCCGAAGCATTGAAGAAGAGCAAATACTCGATACCCTGTTGACCAGTGCTTCTGAATCCTCATTTATTCTCCTACCAAAACTGAACGAGAAAAAGATACAGCCTGATTCCTTCAAAGATGGACCAGAGCTTGGATGAGATCATAGCTGAACGTCCCGTAAGTATCTATGCCCCGAAATCAACATTAGAGATATGTACTGACATGGCTATGGATATATAGAATGCCTCTCGTTCTAGAGGCCGGACGGCGAATACTCGCCCCCGAAGAAACAACTACCGCGATACTCAGAAGGTCTGTTAGGTCTGTCCTTAGGGTTATAGAAGCTATTTGATGCTGATGGGATGACTTGTTATTATCCGTATAGGTCCTCCTCCTCCTATTCCCATCGCTGCCTTAGCTGCCTACCAATTGCCGTACCGTATAGCTCGAGGCGTGAAGTGTGTCGAAGCGCGTCCTGCGTTGAAGGCGCATTTCACGCCCTTGTCCATCTCTTTCAACAGAAAAGCAGAATTGCAATTCTTCGATATGATACTCAAGGCCATATCAACTAGATCTGACTGACCTTCGGCTAACCTTTGTCCTTTTTTCCTCTGAGTAACAACAGCCTTCCAGAGGAGACCGAGCAGATTTGGACCTGTGAGTACGGAATGTTGCTGAACGGGGGTTGGCCTTATACACCCAACTTCAAGGCTGGAATCGCATAGGCTTTTCAAACTAATGGGATATCTGTTTGATAGCGACTGGGTTCACGACAGGTTTGAAGACGATAGAGACAGTCAGTTTGACATATTTCGGTTCTTTTCTTGGCATGCTTTCTGACACCAGCTTTCTAGCACGCTCTTCCCGACCTCCACGACAACCTCGTACCGATAGATACAACTCTGGCTCTGCTGACCAGTATGTAGCTCTGCGCGTCTAACTATATGTCTCCCAGCTAACCGGCAACTGAACCAGAGATTCACGCGGAGCGAAAATTCGAGTCAACAACATCCACTATGACTTGACTCAGGAAGACCTCGAGGTTCGACCGCTTTATTCTCTCGCCTACATCACAAGTACACGGAATCTAACACTCACGCAGGAGCTATTCACTCGCATTGGACCAGTCCACTCCGTATCTCTCCTCTACGACCGAGCCGGACGCTCGGAAGGCGTTGCATTCGTCACTTACAAACGGCTATCTGACGCGCAAACCGCCATCCAAGAATTTGATGGCGCAAACGCAAAGGGTCAGCCTATTCGCCTCTCCCTAGTCACCAACACTGCGCCTAGACGCCGTAACCCATTTGACTCCGCTGAGATGCCAAAGGGGAGCCTATTCGATCGTGCTGAAAGGCCGCGGGGCAGGGACAGTCGCAGTCTTAGCCCAGAAGCCGAAACCAGTGGTGGACGAAGGGACAGGCGTAACAATTCCAAACTTGCACCACCGGATAACATTGATCGTTACATACCCGGCCATCGATCACCTATAAGAAAACACGACTCTGGTAGAAACAGAGGCCGTCGAGGTGGTAGGGAGCCCAGGGAAGGAACCGATAGCCGAACCCGTGGGTCAGGGAGAACGAAGAAGACGCAGGAAGAGCTGGATCAGGAGATGGAGGATTATTGGGGTAAAGCTAATGCTGGAGCTGATGCTGCTACTGGTGCTGGGGCTGATGCCAACCAAACTGCTCAGCCTAGTAAGCCTGCTCCCGCAACCGGTGGTGAAGAGGACATTGACATGATTGAGTAAGCATGTTGGACCTTTTTCTTGGTGGCTTTTATGGCCGTAGGACAATTGAAGACTGGCTCTCGTTCTATCTTACATGTTAAATTGCACTGCGCCATAGCAGACATTCGACTTTTTACTACCACTCTCCGCTTTATATAGATATTACCTTTGACTTTCTTATATAAAATCGAACCAGATGGCACATTATATGAGGCCTAATACGCGCTTTTTGAGATGCCAACCAGAGGTAGAAGAATGTAGACCAATGGTGTTGTTATTTGGTGTTAAATAACAAAGATTCCCTCCCTGCTACCGCAAGTAAACCCGACATGGCTAACCAACCAGCGTTAAAAGAGTTCTCTTTGTAAACCCCTTGACCTGCAAGCCACTTACTTAGCGGACTGTGCCGTATCTATCTCCATAGACCATATGGCTCTCTACATGCTTTCCATAGTTTGATAGTTCCATCTTCGCTTCCTGTTCCGTAAATCTTTCCGTCGGGAGAGTAGCTAAGCGACCAGATGGGGCCATGATGACCCCGTTGAACCTCTAGATATATATATCAGTAATCCACCCCAAGATGAATAGATAAACAGCCATAAGCAGAAAAAAACGGATAGATATAAGTACCTAACTCTTCGTTCGTTTCAAGATCATAAACACGCGCCCAGGTATCTCCCGTGCTGCCGGTGACGAACCGGCTCGTCGTCTTGTTCACAGCAACACTAGCAAGTTCATATGAGAAATCTGCCTTTTTCAACAACCGTCCAGGCTGGACAGGGTCGAAGAGATAAGCTGACTTTCCGGCAGCAACGCTCAATACGCCTGGATCATTTGGTGTGGTTGAAACGGTATTCAGTTCGCAGCTGCCAATAGTTCCGTCTACAGCAACCTCTGCACAGGGGTGACGAGAGCGAAGATCCCACCATCGGACCTTCTTATCATCAGCCGCGGTGACGAGAATGTTGTAGTCCTGATACCAAATAATGGACTTGATAGTGCCATTATGGACTCCAGGACCAATCTCATAGCTCATGGTGCCGGAAGAAGCTGAGCTGGAGCCTGCTCCGTTTGCGGCTCCTGGGCCACTTTGAGACGTGGGAGAGGAGGTGTTACTGCCTTGAGCTCGGGAGAGGTCAAAGATACGTAATTTCTTCTCCATGCCACCTGTGGCTAGAATTTGAGGGCCGGTTTGAATGGGGAATGCAACTGCTCGGACAATGTGGGAATGCTGCAGTGTGTGCAAGCACTCACCGGTATGTGTGTCCCATACCTTTCTGGTGAGGAGTGAGCAAGAAGTTTCAAGATATCTCTAGGGATTGTCTGGAGACATACGCAGAGAAGTCTGCAGCCGCGGTGGCAGCAATGGTAGCATCCACGGATAGTCTAGCCTGCCAGACGGCACCTTTATGACCCAGAAATGTCCCAATCCTTGATTGACATGATACCATGTCAGTTACATATTATAGAAGAGACTTCTTATGAACTAAACTGACCAATCACCAGTTATCCCATCCCGGAGCATAGGATTATTATCTGCAGAGAAAAACTTAGTTTCAATATGCTTATAACATAGGACTATATAGCCTACCTTTGCACGCTGAGATCAGGTAATATTGGTCATCTTCGGTGATTGAAGAGAAGCTAATATGAGGAACAGGTCGTGAATGCCCATGACACGTCAAGGGCACAACCTTTGAAGCATCTAATATAGAATAAAGCGTTAGCCCTATTCGCGTTATAAACCGATATTTTCACCGACTAAATGGTGATATAGGGTCTATGCTAAACATTATGTTATAGAAGGATAGTTCTGGCGGGATACAAACTTACCTGATGCCATCTGTCTAGAGATTAACAACTGAGCAACGGAATCACAATCCAGTCAAAGGAGAAGGAGAGAAAAAGAAAAGAAAATGTCAGTAGCCAGGAGCTAATGAAAGTATATGAAGAGAGAAATGGAGACCAAGTAGAGAGATATCAAGAAATTAGCGAAAAAGAAAGATCCCAAAGCCAGAGAGGTATCTCCGAAATCAAAATAGAGGCCAAGAACACCGGTCTTTTACACCAGTAATATGAGAGAGAAGGGAATCCGTTCAGTCGTCAAAACATTCCTATCATTAAAAAGAAAAGAAAGGAAAAAGGGGGCCGTCTAAAAGGGAGTGGAAGAGAAAGAAAGGTGGCGAGAAGAGAAGAGAGCGCCCTCTATTATTGCAAGTTCAAATGGAGGGGCGTCTCCGTCTCCCGAGTCCCCTTCTTTTTGATAGAGATTAACCGACGACGGCTCTGCGAGGGCTTCCCGGTCGAATAAAAGGGAGGAGAAAGGGGAGAGAAGTGGTGATATAGAGTAAATGAAGAAGGGAGGAAAAAAGGACAAGAAAAGCTGCGGTCTCTCTTATTTTTTTTTTTTCTTTTTGATATCGGCGGAACAGGGCTTTGGTGGAGAGTTTAAGCGCGGCGGGAGGAAGCGCTAGGCGGGATGAGGTAAGGCGCCAGGGCACATGACTCTCTCTATCTTCAACGACTTCAACTTTCGACCTTGAACAACGAGAAAAACAGACATCAACACAGCAAGACAGCACAAAAAAGAGGCGGCGGGACAGGACAAGGACAGGAGATTTCTTCACATTTGATGCTGAGGAAACTTTTTCTGCAGGGGGATTGACCCGTGCCTCGTGTTCCCTGCAATTTGGCGCATCCCAGGCCAGTTCGGCTTGTTCACAGGGATGTATCCTTTCGACTAGTGAGATTAGCCTGGCTAGGTGTGGGAGAGTCTCATCTCGGCTGCTCTACTTGCAGCATTAATATATTAACCCCGCGGTCGAGTCTGTCCATGGATACCACTCTAGGAGCTGCTTGATGGATACGTCTCGTTGAGCTCGTTATACAGAGTACTCATCTGGAATATGCGCCTCCACACCCCCTTAGATACGATGCCTATACTTCCGAGTAAGATTATTATATGTTTCATCCGTAGTACTAGCTATTAGGTAAATTTCCTACAAAGTATGCAGAGATCCCTATACAACGTATCGTTCACTATTACACATGAACTGCTGATATATCATGTACGCTACAACAAGTAAACACTTGCTATATAAGAATACATATATTCCCTACTGCTCTTCACTCCTCTTTAACTAAATAATAAATAATGAAGTCTCCCATCTACAGTCATGTGACTTCAATATTATGTCATTCATAGAGAGTCGAACCCCCACATGTAAGCAAGTAGAAGAGAACAACAACAACAGCTCATTGCTCTTCTTGCGAGCTTCAGTTGTTTCGTTGCATCAAGCATTTGGAAGCTTATAACTATTTGTTGGGTGCTAAATTGAACCTTTTTCCACAGCCTACAGCAATTTTTTGTATGCCGGACTTCAAGATCTCCGCCATTTTGGAGGGCCACAGCGATGATGTCAGTTGAAACCGATGCCATACCCAAATGAAGAACTATTTTGACTGACCTCTCGATATATAGGTTCGAGCTGTGGCCTTCCCAAGTACAACAACAGTTCTAACCTCATCTCGAGATGCAACTGTTCGCATGTGGACTGTGATATCATCCCCACCTCCACAATTCGATGACAAAATTACCGTGCATGGTTCAGCATTCATAAATTCTATAGCTTACTGCCCCCCAACAGAAGACTATCCGGAGGGGCTGATATTCAGCGCCGGCCAAGATACAATAATAGAAGCAAGACAGGCTGGGAAACCTGCGGATGATAACGCTGATCGTTTGTTGCTCGGCCATACCGGCAACGTATGTGCTCTGGCTGTCTCACCGGACCGTAAATGGCTTGCCAGTGGAAGCTGGGACTCAACCGGCCGTCTATGGGAGATTGGAAAATGGAGTAAAGAGGTGGTTCTGGAAGGCCATGGAGGTAGTGTTTGGGCTGTCCTTGCTTACGACAAGGACACAGTTATTACAGGTTAGTGGTACATATGAAGTGTGTGACCTGGTATATACCCCATGCTTATGAGTATGTAGGATGTGCTGATAAGCTCATACGTGTATTTAACACCTCTGGGAGTTTACAAAACACATTCCGCGGCTGTGGAGATGTTGTTCGAGCACTCTGCAAGGTCCCAGATGGACACACATCCGGTGCACAGATAGCATCCGCAGGTAATGATGGTATTATTCGGCTCTGGACGATTCAAGGAAAGCAGGTTGGCCAACTCCATGGACATGAGAGCTTTATTTACTCCCTCGCTGCCCTTCCGTCTGGTGAGCTAGTGAGTTCCGGAGAAGACCGGACCGTGAGGATATGGAATGGCACTAGCTGCGTCCAAACAATCACTCACCCGGCGATATCAGTGTGGAGTGTTGCTGCTTGCGCTGAGTCTGGTGATATTGTCTCGGGAGCCAGCGATAGGGTCACTCGAGTCTTCAGTCGAGCTAAGGATCGACAGGCAGATGAAGCTACAACCCAGATATTCGAGAACGCCGTCAAGGAGTCCTCTATCCCGCAAGAGCAGGTCGGAAAGGTCAACAAGGAGAAACTTCCTGGGCCAGAATTCCTTCGGCAAAGATCTGGAACAAAGGATGGCCAAGTGCAGATGATTCGTGAAGAGGATGGAAGTGTTACCGCTCATACTTGGTCATCTGCTTCCTCTCAATGGGTCCCAGTTGGCACAGTTGTGGACTCCGTCGGGAGCAGTGGTAGGAAAGTTGAATACATGGGTCAAGATTACGATTATGTCTTCGACGTCGACATTGAGGATGGAAAGCCACCACTTAAGCTCCCATATAATCTGTCCCAAAACCCATATGACGTGGCAAAGAAATTTATCGAAACCAACGAACTCCCGATATCATACCTAGAGCAGGTTGCCAACTTTATAACGTCAAATACTGAGCAGGTTGCCAACTTTATAACGTCAAATACTAAAGGAGCAGTGGTAGGCCCATCACAGACAAATGAATCCACATACCAACAGCCGTCTATTCCGGACTCTCGACCACGAGTTTTACCACAAGCTTCATACCTCTCTATAACCTCTGCAAACTTGAAAGCTATTCAAAAGAAGATCTCCGAGTTAAACGCACAACTAGTGTCCTCTGGTTCTAAGGATATATCCCTTTCTCCATCTGAAATGGAAGCCATATCTGCTCTTTGCTCCCGGCTTGGACAGCCCTCCACTTTATCCAAATCACCAGTCGTCAACGCAACACTTCCTCTGCTTGTTAAGATATCAACAAGCTGGCCCGTGGGAAATCGACTCCCTGGACTTGATCTCCTTCGGCTTTTAGCCGCCGCATCTCCCATACCAGCCACTTGGGATCAAGGTGACGGTAACTTAGTATCCGTGATAATAGCAAGCGGTGTATTTGACGCACCTCTCAGTCCGAATAACACTATGTTAGCAATCCGAATGCTAGCAAATTTCTTCGAAACAGACTCGGGCCGTACTCTAGTAGCCGGATGCTTTGAGGAAGTCACAGGCAAAATCGGGTCTGTCATGTCTGATTCTGTTGCTGCAGGCAATCGCAACATAACAATTGCCGCAGCAACGCTATATATCAATTTCGCCGTTTATCTCACGTCAAAAGATAAAGCTAATACACTAGAAGCCTCCGAGCATGGACTGGTGCTTCTAGACCAACTGACCAAGGTTCTTTGCAACGAGAAAGATTCAGAGGCCGTGTATCGAGGGTTGGTCGCACTTGGGACGTTAGTTGTTGGTCTGGACCATGAGATAAAAGCGGCAGCGAAAGAGATTTACGAGCTCGATCGGACCCTGAAACGGGTTCTAGATGCCGGGTTTGGGCGGGAACCAAGAGTTAAAGGTGTTATAAGCGAAATTAGAGATGCAATTAATTAGAACAGAGGTATACGGAAGCATGAGCGTTACGTATAGACTTGAAATTATTAATGATATGCATTCCCTTGCTATTTTGTTGCGCTTTGATCTTGACCTAGAGAAATAACCGTTACCCGTAACTTTTAGGATGGCGCCCGCTTCTCCAAGGTCCTCTAGCAAATGATACTATTTATGCAACGGAAATCATTTACCCAAAGCATGACCCATGTTTTTAATAGCATGGGACGATAGATACTATCTTGACTCACAACTTTTCAGGCCAGTTAACATCAACTTCCGCTATCTGGTCAACCCCGGGATACTCAGGCAAATCCAACCCATATTTACCCGCAATACCAGGCGTCAAGAACCTCCCGCCTAGGAAATGTCTTCCCTTGAACCACTTCACGCACGGCTTAGCGGCTGTCAGACTGATAAGTATATCTGGCATAAATTTCGAACCGGGCCCATCCTTGGGCGGCCCAGACTCAATGTCCCATGAACTAGGCGCATCAACGCTAAGAACTGGAACCTTTGTCTCCTCTAGCTGGGAGATTATTTCTGGAAATGGGTCTCTGAGTGGCCCGCTGAATGAAAACCCAAAGATGGCATCCACGACCAAATCAGAGGATTTAAGGGATTCCGCGAAGTCGGATGTAAACGGCACAGATAGGTTTTTCAGCTGGGTTTTCAAGCGCTTGATGACTTAGCTTAGATATACTGTGTAAAAGGTAATGTTTAACGTACCTCATACAGTTCATTTTTACCTTGCTTCGGGTAGTAGACGGTAGGTTTATACCCATAATGTGCTAGATGGCGTGCGGCAACTAGACCGTCCCCTCCTGTGTATCTCCAACCAAAGTTACTGCTTGCCCTGAATTAAGCCACAATTTGGTAAATGTATTATGCCCCTACCATTATTTCCTGGGCCACAGGCCACCAAAATATTGCGTCCTTCTTTGGGCGGATGGACCCGGTATACTGAAATACCCGGGAATTTGTAGCAGTTAGTTAAATGAACTTGTATTGACGCAACAGGGAAGAATAAATACCAGCTTGTGAGACGGAAAGACCAGCCAATTCCATCAACTGATCAATAGAGAAGCCTCCAGCATCCATGAGGTCTTTATCCAGGGAGGATGCATCTTTGGGGTTGATAGTCTATGCATATAACTTAATTTTAGCTAGACTGGTCGTTTCAATGAATAGCAAAGGTCGAATTTCTTGATAGATAAAGAAGAGAATACAACCGATTATCCTGGATACTCAACTTTTAAGGCCATGATGGATATTCTGCTATACTTGCGGATGAATGTAAGCAATGGTCGTGATGTTAAGGCTCTGCGCATTCGGGCTTCACAACTTGATCATAAACGCACTACTCAAGCTTTCAAGACGTCTAGACAGTGCAATATCAGCCTAAACTACGATTCATAGATTCTTCTTCCATTCTTCAAAATTAATCAACGTCTTTCAACTTCAAATAGTATGACGTTAGCGGTTATGTAGGATAGATAGTTCACGTGATTATCCGGGAAAACAAAAATCCGAGTTCAGATAATTTTTGATGAACATCGGCGGATCGATATGAATGGAACTGCAAGTCGAGAACTGATAGATATATCAAGAACGAGTCCTTGGTCGCTGTTGCGGTAGGGTTATATATCCCACAAGTTAGTTCAATTGATTTTGCCGTGAACTATCTTTCCAACGTCCACAATGGTTCTCCGAATTCGACTGTCCCGATTCGGCAGAAAGCACGATCCCTTCTACAACATTGTGGTCTCACAAGCAAAGTATGTCCCCATTGAACGCCCCTACTTCAGGAGCTATCGATATTATCAAAGTAATTGATGCTAACCGGCCCCATGCAGAATTGCACGCGACTCAAAACCCATCGAAGTCCTTGGAACATATAACCCAGTCCCACAAAAGCCGGTTGGTCTGCTGGATAGCGAAGCAAAGACTGCAAAACCATATAAAGATATTGCTCTTGACCGAATAAGGACGAAATACTGGCTTGGTGTAGGCGCTCAGCCTACTGAGGGTGTATGGCGTTTGTTAAGCATGGTACGTTGACCTTGTGCAGCCCTCGACCACTGTGGAATGCTATAATTCTGTATGAAGCCGGAGAAGCAGAATTTCATCTGTTGAAATGTATTCTTTTGCTGATTATCGTGAGTATGGATAGGTTGGCTTGGTTGAACCGAAAATAGGCAAGGCGCAGAAGGCTCAGGCCAATTTGAAGGCCGCGGGAAAAGCGGCAAATACCAATTAATCAGGCTTATTTAACCAGCCGTTTCGACGGCATCACGTCTTTTGAGGCAATTATAGTTACTAAGACGAGGTAATGGACAGAGAAACAACGGCATACACAAACCTGGGCATATGTTTCCGACCCTCCTCTGCGGCCTCTCAAGGATCCTTGTCTTCTGTATATTACATACCCACATTTTCTTTTTCTTTCTTTTCAAAACATACCTTGATGAGATCCGAAATCGTCACATGTACCAAGCGTATCAAGCATTCTCGCTGTCTTTTGAAGTAGAGTTGGGATATGGCGTCTATTTGGCTGGAGGCATAATATGTCGGTAATATAGGTATTATTTTTATCAAGTGGGATGGATCTTTATTATCGTCACCAGGCGGAGAGATATACCTGCGCTATACATAATCTCCTTCTCTTGTTTACTTGTCTCAAAACTTGGCTCTGCTCGCTCCGTACAATACCAACCCTCTACCCGATGACAGGTATATTTTACCATGGGCCGGCTAACACGAGCATTATCAAACAGTCCAGGCCTGCGGCGCATTCGCGGCCTCCTAAATGGTCTATATATGGTGCAGCGTACTTTGCATACTGCTCGTCAGCCGTCATCATTGAGGCTTCGTCCAACTGCTTATGGAATAGTAGTTTCATCGGCCTCAGGCTACCTACATTGTATTCCATACATACATAGTAGTACATATACATAGTCTACGCATGCTACTCCGTAAAACAAGGGGCAGGAAGCAAGAAAAAGCAACTCTGCGCCCTTTTTCTTCTTCTTGCTGGTTTGGCTGCAGCTCGTATACGGAACAACACTTTGTTGGTGCAGCAGAAATCAAGATTATGCGTCTTCATCTGTTCTTATCTCAAAGGGAGCAGAGTATTCGTATGAGGAAGTTGGCTTGCATCATTCTCTGCCTATAAATAAACATTGGCATCCTTGTATCTCAATGATCGTTCCAGGGGCTAGTTCAAGCGTCATCTATGGTGAAATCGATCGTACTATGTATGTTAAGTGCACGGAGTATTAGGATGCTAGTTTTCTTCCTGATGTCTGTCCTATCCTATACCGTACGTAGTTGTCACCAGCTTGGTTTATTCGGGCTTACGTCTAAGAGATTTCATTAAAACCACACTAGAAAGGGGACTTACATGTATCTGGTGGCTGTATCCCTAGAGTAATTAGGTTACCATCTCATGATGATGTGTATACAACGACATGTTCAAAGACGTCAAAAGCTTACCTATTTTGATTTGGATTAATACGAAATATATTAACATTACATTGTTATTAGAATGCCATCTCATCCTACTTCTCATATCCGTACCAGCGTCATCGTAGAAACTCTGATATCATCCCCTTTTGATAAATCCCAAACCCCTTACTCCTGGCTTCTAGCCGCACAGTACTTCAATATAATTCTTCTATTATCGTGAGTATAACTTCACGATTGCCCGACTTGCAGTCCGAGTTGCGACGGCAGAAAAGTCCATCGGTGGCCTTGGTACAATGGAAGGATCTGTACAAACAAACACCAAACTGGCATCTCGTGTTTCCCAACTCAGCATGGCTCCCGGACCTTGAAAAACTGCCTCGAGCCCTGCATAAAACAAAAGAGATGATCGGACTGCCTGCTCGGAAAACGCGCGTTGTAAGGGATAGCGGCAGGTGAGCCCATCAGAACAATCTTTGTCACTTGCACAGGTATGTTTTGAGAAGTACATTCCCCTGACACAGATTTTGCAGATGTAGTCTTCATTTATGCTGCATGTACCGCTCTTTTTCTTGAGTTTACAGATATTATCCGTGGGGTCACAGAAATCCTGGGCAAGGCAACGTTTGCCGCCAGAGCAGTCTCCTCTCCTCTTCAGTTTTGCAACGCATGCGTTTTGAAGACAGAATTCTGTAGGACCACGCTGTGCCTGGTCAACTTCGACAGATGAACCAGAATCTTCATCTTCTAATTTGTTCCGCAAGTTCCGTCTGCAGCGAAGACCGTGTTGGCGCTCAGAGCAATGGGAGGCAGGAATGCCGTATAGAATTTTATCATGATAGAGGGTGTAGATAGACCGGCGACGAAGAAAGGATCCGATTAAATAAAGGTGAATAATGATATCAGTAGGACTTTGTGGAAGAGAAAAGTGTTGAGCTCGATTTTGAAGAGAACGGGATGACCTCTCATTTTCATCTGCAGTGCATGTTGTCAGTTATTCAAAGCCATGGCCCAGTTACTGACTTCCTACCATAATGCCAAAGGTTAGTCTGTGTGCGGGAGCCAATGATAATCTTTTGGGTGTATCGGACTCCGATGTGACTATCAAATGGGCGGTGGCGACTATCCGATCCAACTTTTCGGTGCTTCATCCAGGATTGTACTATGTATTTAGCTAGATACACCGGCTGCTCTGTGTCATAAGTGCATGGGAATACATATTTGTCATCCGCAAGACTTGACGTTGATATAGGCATGTTAATTATAGAATGTATTTCCTGGTACACTTGTCCAGTATATTCAGTCTGATATTAAAAGGGATTCCATCTTTGACCTGGTGATCCAGTAGAAAGCCACAATGGATGCAATAAAGATCCCCGCGAAGCATCATTGATGCCAGGTCCATTTCTGGACCATGCGAAGAGACTGTAAGCCAGAAAGGCTTTCAGTTCGGTGTATAAAAGGGGCCTGATAATATCTGCATGACTGAAATACTTTGCAGGCTGCCCTTTGGTTCCTGAAGGAGTTCTTGATAAACTGAAAAGCCAGCTGACTGCTATAAACCTGCTCCCAAGACAAAATAACGCTTCCTCGGAGAGAATTCCGGTCTTGGTATGATCATCACACCAACTTTGCGGCGAAGGCGCATGCAAACTCAACCTCGGAACGTCCCATCAGGTCGGTGAAATCCATCGATTGAGTGCCGAGTCGGAAGAGAATCTTTGAGAAAAAAGATGAAGGTGACCTTTCGTGTTCAACTTCTTCAGATCCAATCGAAACAGCTAAACCTAGAGATCGCGACCAGGATGATGCCACAGGGATAGACCGGGTCGATGAGAACAAGAAGATTGAAAAAAAAAAAGAAAAATCTATTTTTTGATCAGCTTTGGCAAGTTGTTTGGAGTGCGCTCCATGGCTTTGGGATGAGTGATATCAAGAGATTTGATAGGCTCCTCTGGTTTTCTACCGTTAGTTAAGAAGTATCTTTTCCCCCCTGAACCGTTGAACGGTGTCTTGAGTGTTAGCCGAATCACAAAGGTTGAAAGTGTATTGATCAAACTTACCAACTAATGCAAGACCGTATAGAAGACTTAAAAAAGCCGTGAGATGTTTGGGTGTATGTTCTCTTTATGTATATACCTTTCTCACGTGTGAGCTATCCCCGTACAGCGATGAAGGGCTTGCATGAACTGCGACATGGGAGCGAGAGAGAAGACCGGCACTTGGCAGGGAGACAGTCGCTGCAGGGACTGTCGACTGCATTTGCAGCGTAGCACGGAGTATATATCTATGTACGGAATGGCAGCCCGGTCGAAATAGATGACCTTCCCCCCCAGAAGCCTGAGGATGCCGTGATATCGATACAAGGGGATGAATGAAACGCAGAAGAAAAAGAAAGCAGACAGTAATGTTAGCCGCTTTTGCTCCGTTAATCTCGTTGCAGACAGCGTACATATATAAGGGTGTATGTATCGAGTATCGAGGATAAGACCACGACCTGCTCCCTGCCTTGCCCTGCCCTGCTCTGCCCTGACCTTGAGAGAGTCAAGGGGGGAGAGAGGAAGGTTGATAGCTTCCACCATGGACATGGTAACGGAGACGCTACGATTTTTAAATCCCGGAGAGGGGGGAACAAAAAGCCCACCAGAGCTATGTTCTTCCTCCCTCATGCCTCGCTTCATCCCCCTAACGTTCTAACGTGGGTTGGCCCTTTTTTTTTTTGCAGGCCTGTAACTCGGTGTCGACAGGTGCTACCCCTGTGCAAGGTCAGGACCAGCCCATGTTCCCCAAGCCAGGGAAAAAGAACGAGCCAGCGTACTGGATGATTGGCCGTGCCGGAGCAAAAGAAGGGCAGGACGGTGGAGATGCCAATCAACGGGTCTGATGGCCGGTGTGTGCTTGATGGCGCAGCTAGGGTGATATCGACCAAGCAGCGAGCAGGCCTGAGGAAGCGGTCGATTGGCCGGGGGTGGGAGAAGAGAGGACCTGGTTGATGCCAGTGGGCCAGACATCGGCCTGGAGCTAGTATCGTATCTATCTGTATCTGTCTTTGATGTTGTATCTGTTGTATCTGCCGTATAATATCTGGCTTGGGAGAAGCGGTTTTGATATAGGGTGGGAAACGGCCTGATATCAACCCCCTTTCCCTCCTCCCCCCCCTTCGTTCTTCTTGTATATTCGTCTCTTCCTTCATCGTCTCTCGTCGGTATCTCTTGTATTAGATAGGTTCATGCTTGCTTTTTCCTGTCCCCGTATCGTTTTGGCCCACTGCTGCAGCCCTCGTCGCTCTCTGACTGGCTTCTCCTGGCTGCTCAGCTCGCTCCAGACCATGAGGAAGCGTTGATGTGCTTCTCTTCTTTCTCTACTCTTGTCTTGTCTCTTGTTCTCTGGTTCTTCTGGTCGTCCTTTGGTCGTCTTTGGTCGTCTCTGTCGCTGTCATCCTGCTGTCACCCTGTCCCATACGTAGAAGACGAGACTCTGCCTCGACCGTCCTCTTCTTCGTCCTTGATTCGACCGTGATTCGACCTCTTATCGACCTTTTATAGCATCAACTTGTCGTCTTCGTCCGAGACTCCTGGCAGCCTGTAAGTCTGTATAGATATCGACTTCATCCTCGACCTCAGCCTCGACCCTCTACTCGGCTTTTCCAATATCAACTCAACTTCTTCTTCGACTTCTTCATCTTCGTCTTCGGTTTCATCGTCTTCTGCTTCGACTTCTGTCTATATCATGGTTACGCTGCGCGTTAGTTAGTCACGAACAGGCAACATCCTCTGCTTCTCTCTCTCTCTTTATTCAGCTTCAAACCTGATATCGACTTGGTTCACTCCCTCTGCTCGCCAACGAGCTCTGCGATCCTTTTATTCCTTCGTCCTTCCGGCGGTCATCTCTTGCGCCGTTCGGGGCTTTTTTTCCTTCTTCTCTTGTCTTTGCGCGCGCCTCGACCGTCGACTCTTCTCATCGCCGTGAGATCGCGACCTCTCGCTCCCTACATATAACATACAACTCCCTCTCGTGATAACATCTTCCTCGTCTCCCGGTCTGGCTTGGTCCAGCAGGAAGGGAAGAAAAAGAAAGAAGAGAAAGAACATATATACAGAAAGATATACAGAAAGATAGAGAGGTTGAAGAATGGGCACTGCGCATCCTAACCAGGCTGGCGTCGCCTTCGAAAACTCCCTACAGCGCAGAGAATCGCTCTCGACTGGCCTTCCTCGACTCTCTCTAGCTGCCCCAAAGGCCATATCTGCTTCTTCGCAAGCCGGTTTGGCCTCGGACATCTTCTCCAGCACCTCGCAGGCCTCGAATCTGCCGGCCTCGATGCCCTACTCCATCACGCCCATCGGAAAACCGTCCAGCTTCGACTCGAGAACTCCCGTCTCTGCTACTCGTCTAGGCCAGCAGCTCTGCGCAAACGGTTCAAACGGCTCGTCCTCTACCAGCATGGGGAACGGACAGCAGCAGCAACAGCAGGGACAGCATGGCGGAGCAACTGCTGTTCGTATGCGATTGTTGCCACGGAATACCAGCTACGAAGCGCTGCGGAGCATGCTACTCTTTGCGAAAAACCTGGTCGATGCAGAATTTATACCGAACGAATACTCTGAGGACGCCTCCTTTCTTACTGCGGTTGCTTTGTTCGAGACCAGAACCGCTGCTGAGGAGGCGCAGGCGATGCTGAACGGGAAGCCCAACTCGACCAACGATGCCAACATGATAGTCGAGATCGTTTCTCCTTGCCCTACGACATCTGCGATGATATCTCGCCGGAATACCATCGACCATCTGCCTCGTTCGCTCTCGATGCTCTCTCCCACTTCGCCGCATCCGTTCATGCCTCCGTCTCGGATGATGAGCCGGCTCGACGATATACACTCGCTCGACAATGGGCTGGATGGCAAGCCGCCGACGACGAACGGTGAACTTCCCGCTCCCGATACGGGATCTCGAATACACTCCATCTTCTCCTCTCAGTCTCCCGCAGGAAACGGGATGAACGACCGTCCTCGTGTCTCTGGTAAATCGGTCATTGATCAGGACGTCGATGAAGACACGGGCGAGCTCTTGAAAGATCCCATCGCATACGCTCGAAACGGACCCATGGCCCTCCAGCGACGCTCAACCAACCCTCAGCTCCCCATGTCACAGTTCTCCAACCTTTCTCTAACCACCAACCTGTCCTCTCCGCCTCTCGCTCCCTTCAGCGCCGGAGCTGGCACGCCCGCCACCAGAAACATGCCTACGCCAACCAGCGCAGTATCGACTTTTAGCGGAAGTGGCTCGACAACTCCATATCACCAGCTCCAGTTCCATCGTCTCAACTATCCACCAGTCAATCCCGCGGACCAGAATCCTCCCTGCAATACTCTATATGTCGGCAACTTGCCCCCCGACACCTCTGAAGACGAGCTCAAAGCCCTCTTCTCGCGCCAGCGTGGCTACAAGCGAATGATCTTCCGCCAGAAGCCCAATGGCCCCATCTGCTTCGTAGAATTTGAAGACGTCTCCTTTGCTACAAAATGCCTAACAGAACTCTACGGCTACGAGCTGTCCAACAGCGTCAAGGGCGGCATCCGCCTCAGTTTCTCCAAAAACCCCCTTGGTGTCCGCAACGGCCAGCCCGGAAGCATCCACCCTGCTAATTCCATGAGCTCGCCTGGCCCTGTCTCCGGAATCAACAACAGCGCATCAGCAGGCATGGGGCCGGTCCGGTTCTCAACCGCCAACGGACCACCACCCGGCCTCAGTGCCCCTCCCGGCCTACCCATGCCAATGCCAATGTCAATCCCAACAGCCATGGGACCTCCGCAGCAAGTCCAGGTTCTAAATACCTCGCAATTCAACGGGCTAGGCCTGGGCTTGAACCATAACGCCAACGCTATGGGAGCAATGAGGCCTGGGGCCGGACCGGGTCCTGGCTCTGGGCCTGGTGCACCGATGAATATGGGCGTTGGCATCGGCTCACCGACGGCTGGAAACATGGGCGCCATCAACAACAGCGGTTCATACCCTGACTATATGATGGGGAGGTAGATTTGCGGGTGCCAGATTCACTCAACTCACTCACTTCTCATCTCTCGTCTCTATAACGGTTTTCGCATGGCGTGTGGGCATGGCATGGTATAGCATAGCATGACATGTATGATGAAGACACGGAGCATTGGGCGCAAACGGACCACAAACCACCAATCAACTTTTTCTTAACATTCCTATCCTTCTTCTTCCCAGACACTGGGAACGGAGACGGAGACGCCATCTGGATTCTTCTATATATCTCTTCTGCTGTTCGTGTTGTTTTTTTTCTCCCCTTTCCTTTTGTTCCTGTTCGTTTTGCGCTTGCCAACTCATCTACTTGGGACCGTTTCATCTTGTTTGCTTCATTCATCGTATTCATTTCACAAACCATATGATCATTTTCTCGGGTTTAATGTCTAGCAGCGGCATGGTATGCAGGTGGAGTGGTCTTGTTCGTTTTATTCTTCCTATGTTGCTCAACCCCTTTTTACCACATTTCCCCAACTCCTCTCTATCAAACCCCTTCGTCCTCTCTTCCAAATCGTTTCATTGCCTAGCAAAAATCCTTCTGCCTGTTTGGAGCATGTTTGTTTTGCTATTACCCCCTTTTCACCCTTATCAATTTCTTCTCCTCTGGTTTACGGAACGGACGACCGAAATAAAAGGTATGACATCTTTTGATATCATCCAAAAATATGTCTGCTGCTTCTTCCCTAACTAGCTACTTTACCCTTTCTTCTCCCTGCTCTGCTTTGGTTCTTGTTTTAATCTGTCTGCCCTTTTGATACCTCGCAGCTATACCCTGCACTCTGCACTTGGTTGTATGGAAACACGGTCATGGTCATGGTCATTGGTCATGGAACACGCGCGCCTACGATTTGATTAATTGATTACTTAGTTGTTTTGTTGCATTCATTTGTTTTATCTGCGGCTGGCTGGCGTCTTTTTTATCTTTACCTTGCTCTCCCCCCTGCCTTTGCTCTGCGTTACTCCCGTTGCCATATATCTATGGGTTTGGGTTCCTGTTCCCCATCTTTGAAGGCGTTCCAATATATGATTCTACAACTCAACACCATAGCCCATTTGCTTCTGTTCTGTCTTTCACCCTTTCGTTTACCCTGGCATGGCTTCTGTTTATCTGGTTTGTCTGTTCCATGGTTAAAGAACCGGCATATCCTACGGCTTCATTCCTGGTTCCGGTCCTCGGTCCGCAAGTTAACCAACTCTTCGCCATGCATTCCAAAAAACGGACGCAATTCATTTCTACTAGGGCAATCAACTGGACGCCTGCTCTTCTAATCTGCTTATTTCGATTATCAGCCTCTCCCGCGGAAGTAAAGGCGTGAGGTAGAATTGTGAACATAGGCAAAGGACCAGGGGGAAAAGTCGAGACAGACATCATTGTCCCTGACCAGGTCATCAGCCTGGTATTTTCCATCTGCTTCCACTCGAAGCTGTCTACCATCTCCTATGCGCCCTGTTGAGTTTTTTTCTCTTCTTTTCTTGTCTGCACTCTATAAAAACGGATAGCATGTATACCCATCCCCCCTTGCATTATTTTTATCCCTGTCGTTACCAGGTCTCCGATTGGTTTTTTGCCCTCTTCTATGTATTCCCGTTCTTATATAATTATGGATAGGTTCTTTTCCCCTTGTCCTTCTTCTTTTGACTTGTGCGATCCCTTCTGTTCTTCTATCCGGAGGCCAAAAAAAAGGGGGTGATTCCATCCGTCTCTTTTTACCCATACAGATCCATCCACACGCTCATTTTATATCATATTCTCATATCTTCTTTTCCTTTCTTGATTTCCTACCCGTCTCTCTTCTCATTCATAAGCATAGCTTCTTCTTCTCTTGATGTACTTCTCTTCTTCTCCTGCCTCTGCCCTGGTTAAGGCAGGCCAGGTTTTCCCGACCAGCGGGAATTTTTATCCCTACCTTTTTATATCTTTACGTTTATTATATCGTTTGCATCTCCAGAGAAACTCCAGATACTTTCTTCTTATTCACAATTGTCTACTGCCTCTTTTTCACTTCTGTATGCTATAGGCATATTTATTTCCATTCGTTTAGGTGTATTTGAGGCGAGGTTCATCTGCACTGCGTTCTACCATGGAGCAGGATATGAAATCGTACACCGGTCGGATCATAGGCTCAGGAGACTGTTTCCACTATCTTTTGTACCGTGGACTTTGGTTTTTCTTTTCTTCTTCTTCACTTCGGCGCTCAGGGGAAGTACAGGCTGGCAAGACTATATCCATTACAACCTCTACATTTACCCTCTTGTTTGACGGACTGGGGAAGATATTAGATAGTGTTGGATACTTCTTTCATCAGGAAACTCCACATAACCTCAATGGTTTACAAATGCCGAGCCTGTAAGGTATAAACTGGTAGTAAATACCGATAGTTATATCATAGCTATCTAATTTGATGAAAGATAAAACATACATTTTAACCCAGCACCCCCTGACCATGGTATCTTCAAACGCACAATGCAATAAAATGATAAACAATCACTCCTGCCGCTGGCAAAAAAGAGCCGTGCCAATAGTATAAAGGTAAGAAGAAAAAAGGTAGGGCCACGGCCGTAAAGGCACGAAGAGAAGAAGAATTAGTCAAAGGTTATGCTGTTCCATACGGCCGAAAAAAAAAGCTGGCTTTAGCCCCCGGAAAGCTGCTCCCTTTGTGCTTTGAAGTCAAGGGTTAGAGGGTATAACAGAAGGTTAAGTGGGAAGTAAATGCAGTTTTTTCTTTCCTTTATTTGTTGTGGTTAGTTCCAACATCATGACCACGGCCGCTGTTATTCATCATGTGCTCCATAAACGTCATATAGTCGTACTTCGCGACCTCCCTGTCTTCCAGGAGGTCAGGCCCCGTGTGCTTGGGCATCGACTCAACCAGGTTCTCGATAAGCTCGTCTGGTATCAGGGAATGCCGAAGGTCAAGTTCCGTAACATATGGCTATGTTAAAAGTGGGTTAGCTGCCTGGTAAGTCAAGGGTTCAGGGGGGGATTAAAGTAGATGGCTCCTGTAAAATAAAGGAGAGAACGAATAAATCTCAGTGATGTTATTACCTTCCCATCAGCTACCTCCTTGAAACTCTGGAGGACCTGTTCAGCCGTGTTTTGATCCTCGGTGACGCTGACCATGAATCGAATGAACTGTTCAAAGCTGACGCCTGCATTTCGTTCTAGACGACTTGGACCGCAGGTCTCCACAAAGACCTCGTGCATCTCATCTTCATCGTATACCAGTCCTAGACTGGCCAAAGCAGCTGAAAATTCTATTTCATGTAGCGTGTTTGTAGAATCTCGGTCAAAGTGCCTGAACACAGACTCAAACTCTTCAAGCTGTATAGGTGTAAGGTTGGTCATGTTCCGTGCGACCATCTGGTTCTCTAAGAATGCCAGCTTCTTTGCTACACTTGATTTGACAAGGCTCAGCTCGTATGAGAGCTCTTCAAAAGTGTAGGTGGTGAAGTCGTTCTCTTCAATGTTAGCTTCTGCGCACTGTTCGTCAAGGTCCTCTATTGTCTCGAGGAAGGCGTCTAGAGGAGGAAGGTTATCGCTGAGCCGTCGAACATGCGTTAACTGGTCTTCAACGTCTCCTTCGAGACCCGATATTGCGAGTGAGAGTGTGTTTAAGGTCAATGCAAAATCATTTGCCTTGTCAGCAAACGATCGACGAAGGGCATTTTTTATATCACGGATAGTCTCGTTGATTAGCTGGCTTCTCTTGTGTTCATAGGTAGTCAAACTAGCCCATTCCTCGTCTAGTACCTCTAGCCTAAGCTCCGGCGGTGGATCATAAGGCTTTAGGCGGTAGGTGCTTAATTTCGTTTTGATATTCCCCAATAGCGCAGCGAGGTCAGACTTCTCGGCAACCCATTCGCGCTTCTGGTTCTTCTTGTATGCAGCAAACTCGCTAGCCTGTTCTTTGGCATCAGCATAGGTTCCTGCAAATGACGAGTTAAGCCATTTCTCCTGTTGCTCAGCAATATTCTTAAGCAAAGCCCTCATCCGGCGCTCGAAGGAGTTTTGCATCTCCCACGCTCCTTGCATGTTTTGAACAAATTTCTCTACACGTCTGCCGGCATTCTCAACTTTCTCGAGCTGTGAAAAGGCATGGAACCAGTATGCGATGTACGTCATGAGAGACCGTTCATCTGGCTTAGCAACATCACACACATCCTCCACGTCAAGCAAGTCTGGAATTCCAATCTCCTCTGCGGCAATATCAAAGGCCAGTTGCATGTTCTTCTTATGTTCCGTCTTGTCTAGAGCGTCGAAATCGATCAGGTCGGGTCGGTGGATATCCAGCAATGCGCAAAAGGCCAGTCCATCATTCCAGCTTGTGGAGAAATCTCTTACTTCCACTCCGGGATAGCAGGCAGTTTTCCGTTGGCACCATAGTAACAGTCCCTCCTTTGCGGTCATACCCTCTTCGTTGATGTCACTGATCGTGAAACGTAGAATGAGCGTCCATATCAAGCCGAGTATTATCTTTCTGTTTCCATCAACAATGTCTTCTGCGCCGATATTCGTCATTTGTATCCCCCTCCCCTTGATAAAGTCGAGACACTTGTTTGCATTCTCGAACTTTTGCACTCGAAGCTTCGGTTTAGACGCATATCGACCCAGTGACTCGTTCCCAAGTATCTCGAGGATGTGAATAAGGATAACCTGTCGAAACGAAGGTACAGATTAGTACCATAGCCTCTCCTGTTGTCATATGGATACTGACTCCGTCTGAAAGGTCTGTCACCAGGTCATTTATGGCGATATTCCGGATCTTGAGTTTGGAGTTTAACCTGTAGATTGACGAAGTGGGTTAGTAAACATATATACCATTAGCCACAAACGGCCGTAGACTTACCATTTTGTGAATGTCTTTTGCTGGACATTGATCCATTGCTTCTCTACAGTCAACATTGTCAATTAACAGCCCGGAAAAGTGGCGGCCCCGGCCCTCTGTTTGGGCCCCTGTATAAACAACAAATGCACCTGTTCACCCGCAAGAAGCAACTTAGATTTAGCCAAACCTAGGCCAGAGACTCCCGCCCTAAGACTCTTGAAAGCAGAGATGGTGTAGAATCAATCCTGAGCGTCTGGATAGTTGCGTGTTTGTCTCAACGGAATAGAATGTTTTTATTTTCCTTCCCTGCATGAAAAGTTGACGAGGAAGTGCTACACGCCAAGGCCGATGCCAGTCGTCAGCCAACAAACCGCCTCGTTGGCTTTTTTTTTTTTGTCCATCAAACCAATTTGTTTACCATCGTTGAAGGCTTGTTTGCTGCTTTGTTGTCTGGTTCAACTTCGATATAGAAGAAGAGGAGGCGGTGATTGTTGGATGTTCCCCTCAAGTTTGGTTCTGCTCTCTGGCTTACCAACAGAAGATGATGTCATGAAAAACCGACTGGCCTTAATATGTCTGATACATTCACTTATTTACTTATCTTATCCAGTTCCCTGCTGGGCTAATGCAAGCTGCCGATCATGCGGAAAGCTGTTCTGGCCAGTGTTTGATCGAGCGGGCTAGGTTGATGCCCTTTTTTTTGGCTGCTTACACAGTTATTGTGATGATACCAGGACCGGGAAGCGAGATTGTCTTAAGACGGCCATGTTATAGCAATGTCCCTTCGCTGCCGGACTGGAGATTGCTGGCAAGATATCTTCAAGATCGTGAACACCCAGGTTCGGCTTTCCTAACAATATCGGCACCGTTAATAATGGAATACCTATTAGACGAGATATCCAGGGTGTTCTACTGGCATAATCTCTAATTAACTATCAAGCACCATATAGTGGTTGGTTTTATGATAATACTGAGAACTTGGAATACACCTACCTGGGTCCTCTCGTTTCCTGAATCAACAATGGTACTCTGGTTAAAATGGGTGGCTCTGGCAGTGTCAAACCATACTTTTACAAGCCTCAACGGGCTCTCGGACGTGAGAGAACAAGAAGAAAGGCCACATCACAAGCATATAGAGCTTGTTCAACCGATAAGGTAAACATCAGTTACCCATCTGGGCAGTAAGTTCCCCAAAGGTCAAGGCTCTTAACTCAAAAAGTGTCAAGAGATCAAGACCAAAGCTGGAAGCGCCCAGTGGAAGCAGCAGCCCTTACGGAAGGATAGCCGGCGTTAAGCTTTAACATTGGTACAACATGGGCTTACATCTTGCTGGAAGAAAACGAATCATAATAGGCTAATCCGGGATAGAATTTAGGAGATGTGTATCCAGCTTGGGGAATACTGATACCTCCTATTTCAACTTTGCACATAATGTAGTAGAAGAGAGGGTGTTGTAATTTCGACCAGCCATCTTGCAGGAGGCTGGAGGATATTAAGCACATAATGTTCCCCGTAAGAGCCACTGTAACTCATGAATAGAAGAGTACACCAAATCCTCTTTATGCCATTGAAGATATGACCAGCCGGTGGCTCTTCCTTGAGACAGGATCCAAAAGACTAGTCGAGCATGGAATACATCTCTCATCATTGACTTGGTAGACGATCATATACGGGCTTCCACCGACTAGATGTGTATACTAAGTCAGACTCAAACGTTAGTTGAATCGACTGGCAATCGCCTATTTTGCGCGATACCCGTAAGAAGTAGTAAGAGTGAGAGTGGCCACTCCACTGGTGGCTTTAAAGTGTTGAGCTTTGCTGAGTCACTCAGTTGATACATTGCTAGCAAGCGGTTAGCGAGAAACAGAAAAAGGGGGGAGATATGTTTGGCCTTCCATTAAACTCCAGAAAGACAGTGGGCAAACGAAGGAATATCTTCAAGGTATAATACTATTATTGCAGCCCGGAATAAGTTATTCTGTCATCATCCTTCGCATGAGTAAAGAGGAACACCCTTGCAGTAAGTGAAACTAGTAGGCTAGCCTCGCCTAGTGAACTCTATATATGAATTCGATAGAGGATGGACTTTTCAACAGCCAGAACCCAGCAACCAGGAATCGACAATCCATGAGAATTCGGATAACGCAAGGAAGAGAGCGCTGGGAGTAACCATGGTCCGTCTCCACGATCACCAGATGTCGACACTAGTTTGATGTTAGCCAGACATTCAAATCGACGCGATGTCAATACTTACATACACGAGCCCCTTTACCGGTATCAAATGGGCGCAGATCTACCAGCGAAAGCCGCCCGTCATCAGACACGATGTAAATCCGATCATCACTGCAAAAAATCAATAGTTTTCCAACCACGATATTGGCTCCATACGGCGTCATTGAGAACAGCCTAGGAGGCGTGGTCGGTTGATATTTTATTACTTTTCGTCGAGCTGAAGAGGGGAGGGAAATATTGTTCTAGAAAACTTCGATGAAACCTTGTCAGCGGAGAGAAATCCACTTGTGTCAAGCTGAACATGTTTCCTTGCAGGCGTTATCAATATCATGCGACGTCTTTTGTTTCTGTGGCGGCTGTCTGAAGCGCCAGTCAATAATTTGCACCTTTTTTTCCCATTCCTTTTTTTTTTTTACTTTTCGAATATTGGCAATGTTATATCTGGGGCCATCTGTGCATGATATAGATACATACAGCTCCCCCATATATATGTGCGTAACCATGAGATATAAGCCTATATACGACATGGCTCATAATACCATATAATTCCGTAAATATAAGCCGACGGCAGGGATATCTAGCCCCTACCCACCTGCTGGGCATAAATCGCGGGTCCAAGTTGGCCCCTTCAGTTGGCCGCAGGGCCGAGCACCCCAAGGGAGGATCAAACGTACTCTGGTGACATTCTTCCATCCCCAAACATGGAATTATTTATTGTCTTCTTTTTGAGATGAATCTCATCCATGTCTTCCTTCAACCAGATTTTAGGTAATAGGCTAAGTCTTTATGTGGCAAATGATCGACGGAAGGATGTAAAAATAGCCCTTCACGTGATATTAAGGGGTATATCACGTGATATCACTTTCTCTTGACGGCGAAGGTGAGGAAGATAAAGGAGCGGGAGAGAACAAGCATTCGTCGACGTATATAGCCGTAGTCCCGTGTGTAGATATACTTATATGCAAGGGCGGCTCACAAGTTGTCTGGATGAAACGTCTCTTTAGACCGTGGTTGACTGTATTATAAGACGGACGGGCGCAGGTGGAAAAGTTTGCTATATTGTATCAGGCTTGAGAAGGACGGGTGTCCAGGGAGTCCAGTATACATATATATAAAAAAAGCCCGTGCATAAATATATCGCCACGATATCTTGATCTGTAGTTCGACTCCAAGCCTGACGAGGCTGGCATGCTTCGATATCAGGGTTGTATCCCAAAGACCGGACAGAACACCGGTGGCACTTGTGTTTCAGGTTTCTTTTGGTCCGAACCACCTACCAAACCGTGAGATGTGATGCGGAACACATGAGGGGTTCATGCCTTCGTTCATACATCGATAGTTGGCCTTTGTACGGAGCGTATGTTTTTTGGTTACCGACAGACTGCGAGTGGGCTAATATCTAATTAACGAAGATGATATTGAAATATATATATATATAGCGCACCACAGAAGCCTAGAGTAAGACTCACTCCTCATCATGCCTTGATTGACGTTGTATAGATAGTTACATCCCCCCTCAAGAAGGATTGCTTACAACTTCGTAATGGTAAATACCCAACCCGTACCCCATCACCAGGGAGAAAAAAGCAAGGGAGGGGGGCCAGGGATACATAAGGTTGAAGGCCGCGGGACCTCACTGGCGAATTAGCCTGACAGCACTCCGTATACTTAAGCAAAGATCTCCACAGAGCAGCGAATGGGCTTTCCAGGCTTTCTTGGTGAAGTCGGAGGCTGTGATCCTCGCATCACGCCCAATCGCACACTGCAGCAGCTTCCTGTTCAACAGGGCTGACAGTATCCAGGTCGTACTCTTCCTTACCGTATCGATACGGAGGGCCGGCGATCGCAAGGCTTGCCCTCTATTTCTAATCTCTGTCTGCCTGTCTGTTGCAGGTTTTTGTATGCCTGGTAAAACGTCCAAACGGTCGAAAGGTCGAAGGTGAAAGAAAAGAGCGTAAAATATACCCAAACTAGCGTATTGGCGATACGGCTAGGGAGCGTCCGGCCGGCCAAGCGCGCACTTCTTTGCGTGCTCTTGGGCGGATCTGGTGTCCCGATATGGTATGGCGCAGTAAGAATACCGCCTCCTGTATGGTCACGCCGTTACCGCGGCAAGAAAGCCCATCCTGAACTTCTTCTCTTCTTTTGCTCTTTCTTCCTTTTCCAACCTTCAACTTCATTTTCCCCCTTCTGCCATCCATTTCTCCGTCTCGAGTCTCGACCACTGTTCAAATATTAACAAACGCCGTCGCCAGTCGACCGTCGACCGTCGCATTCTCCCTCTTAGACGATCTGTCACAGTCTGAGGAATCATCCAGGGGGCTGCTTTGTCCGTCAGTGTTCAGCTTCCTCTCGCCACGATATCTCATCCCCTTTTGCCTGGCTGCTTGCACCACCGCATCTCGCATCGCCGGATAGCCAGTGCCGCTGCGGTTCTCATAATGTGAGTGCAATCCTCGTTCACAACACTCCTTTTACGCCTTCTGTCGTCGTTTTCACGCCTGTTCTTTTTTTTTTTCCTGTTTGGGGGCTGGATCTCAGGTCACATATTTGAATACGGGCTCGCCCACAGACCCCCTTCTCCCTCTCTCCTTTTCTTGTCACCGTTCGGCATCGAAAGGGTCTTATGGACGTCAAGTACTGTGGTAGAGACATCTTCTAACTATTGCCACTGAGTAGATTACCGTTTTAATCCACCCAGGCCGTTGATACAATCTTTTTTTTTTTCGTAAACCGCCAAGATGGGTTGTGGTATGAGTACTGAGGATAAGGAGGGGAAGGCCAGAAATGAAGAGATCGAGAACCAGTTGAAGAGAGATAAGCTCATGCAGAGGAACGAAATTAAGATGCTTCTGCTTGGTAAGTCGTTCGTTGGTCTGGAATTGTTATGTTCACCAATTGCTGACTATCGTCTACAGGTGCTGGAGAGTCTGGAAAATCAACCATCCTGAAACAGATGAAACTTATCCATGAGGGATCCTACTCTCGCGATGAACGTGAATCCTTTAAAGAAATTATCTTCAGCAACACCGTTCAGTCAATGCGTGTTATCCTCGAGGCCATGGAGAGCCTGGAACTGCCGCTTGACGACCAACGCGCTGAGTACCACGTACACACCATCTTCATGCAACCAGCTCAGATCGAGGGTGACTCTCTGCCACCAGAGGTTGGTGCTGCCATCGAGGCTCTTTGGAAAGATGCTGGCGTCCAAGAGTGTTTCAAGCGCTCGAGAGAGTATCAATTGAACGACTCTGCGCGATAGTATGTCATTTTATCCCTCTTTACCTCACATCTAGACGATATACTAATTTATCTATATAGCTACTTCGACTCCATCGGCCGTATCGCCGCGCCAGACTATCTTCCCAATGACCAGGACGTCCTCCGTTCTCGTGTCAAAACCACAGGTATCACCGAAACAACCTTCATAATCGGCGATCTCACCTACCGCATGTTCGACGTTGGTGGTCAGCGTTCCGAACGTAAGAAGTGGATTCACTGCTTTGAAAACGTCACCACAATTCTCTTCCTCGTTGCCATCTCAGAATACGACCAGCTCCTGTTCGAGGACGAGACCGTCAACAGAATGCAAGAAGCGCTCACACTGTTCGACTCCATCTGCAACTCAAGGTGGTTCATCAACACATCCATCATTCTGTTTTTGAACAAGATCGATCGATTTAAGGAGAAGCTGCCCGTTAGCCCGATGAAGAACTACTTCCCTGATTATGAAGGTGCGTTATCGCCACTCGTCCGCCCAAACTCCTGTATTTTCAAATCTCGTTTTCTGACACAATTTTCTTCTCACTAGGTGGCGCCGACTATTCTGCCGCTTGCGACTACATCCTCAACCGTTTTGTCTCGCTAAACCAGGCAGAACAGAAACAAATCTACACACATTTCACATGTGCCACTGACACCACCCAGATCCGATTCGTTATGGCAGCCGTCAATGGTACGCGAACTTCGCTTCTACAGTCATAATTAATTTGCTAACATTTCGTCTCTAGATATCATCATACAAGAGAATCTTCGACTCTGCGGCCTGATATAATGCACCACCTTTCCCGCAATCCCCTTTAAAGGAAACCCCCGTTTTCAGATCTCTAGCCGTTTGTTATTTCCTTTATCTCATGTGTATTTGATATCCCAATAATTAACCTGCCAAAAATCCCCAGCAACCTACGCGATACGTCTCCCGCATTTTCAACCCCACCCCCATCTGCGTGGGCCCTGTGACCTTTCTTCTCTTCCCATTTGAGCTCCAGGCGTCTCGTTGACTGTTGAGTCTATGGTCACACCGTCTTCAATTACTATAATTTCCTACTAATCGTCCATTTCAATCCACAGGAGGATATCCACTGTTCCATTTCATTGCAAATTCCCTCTATTCCCCCTTTCCTTGAATCTCCTGCTTTCCCTCTCCCTTTGTTTATTCCACCCTCTTCTCTAGGGACCCTCTCTTCGTCGTTATCTACCTAAACCCCCCCTCCACTAACCCCTGCTGATCGGTGCTGGTGCCATGCTTCTGCCAATGTGTTGGCCAGCATATTTACGGATTCCATGTCAATTGTTTTGCTCTTTTTCTTTCCTCGTTATATCCACCTCAATCTCTCTCTCCGCGTCTCTCCTTCAAAGGTAATCCCCTTTCTTTTACCTGTCTCTCTTCTCTCACCTATGGGGAAACCTGTACAACGTCTCAAATGCAAACTTCCCTATCTAAATGTCGGTTCGGAAATTGGGAGGGTAACCATGGCCGTAAATGCTAGTTTATAATTTTCTTTTTTCCCGTTCTTCTTTCCTTTTTCTTTTCCTTTTTTTCTCCTGTCTTTCTCTTCTGATTTTGATTTCAGTTTTTTTTGTCTTTATCTACCTATGTTTCTTTGCATCTCTCTGTCGCTTATTAGTTTTGGCGAAGTTCTTATAGAAAATGATAGCTATTCGATGACGTTCAAAATGACTTCTTGGGCTGGGTACATCACTGTATAGGGGAAATATGCCTGATATTTAGTTCCACTCCCTTGCATAATGATTACACTCAGGGTACATTTGAGGCCTTGTTTACAGCGCCATAAGATCGTAAAAGCCATAAGATTGTAAGTTTCCAAATATGGACGGGCGGGTTTTCAGGTAGTTTTCGAGTTAAGAACCCCCAGAAAAGTGTCAAGTCCCAAGGCTCATCCGTGCATCCATACGGACTCCATCCTTACACCCTTCAAAACCGCAGCTTTGGTCCGACATAGACAATCATTATCGCCAGAATCCACAACCCGAATATCCATAAATACATCAACATACGACCCCACCACCCTCTGCCCTCACTCATTCGTCTAAGCATCCCCATTTTCTGCCCCGCTGATTCCAAACCAGTGGTGTTCCGATCCAGTCCTTCTACCGCACGGTCTATAATTGACTTCTCAGACTCTAGCGTTGTATTAAACGTATGCGTTGAGGCTTTTAGTTGCTGGGCCAGCGTGAGCAGGGAATCAGTCAGGGACTCCTGTTCTTGGCGGTCGCGTGCCAGTGAAGCTTCTGGATCTAGATCTCTTGACCTTGAGTCTGTCCTTGAAAGGCTGTGGGGGCGGACGTGAGGGTTGGGGACTGGTTTAAATGGGGAGGGGGGTGCGGACGGGTGTACGGAAGGCGAGAAAGTGCCTGTTGACAGTGTGGCTGTGGTAGGGTGGAGTGTTGTCTCAGCGGGTGTGTGCACTGCTGTTGGGATGGTGTTTCGGTTGCGTAGTGTATTTGAGCTGAATGGCTCGCTGTGAGCGGGCGCAGAACTGTATGAGGAAGATGGTGGTGTGGGAATCGTAGAGCTCTGGCTTGTATCGGATATTATAGAGCACTCTTGTGCCTCTATCTGCTTGGGCTCATCTTTTATGTTCGTGGAACTGGTCGATGCTCGTGAAGATATGTTTTCAGGAGTGACACTGTCTTGCGGCGTGGGGAGGATATCCTCTTCATCTTCTGACGAGTGGGTGTCTCCATCCGCTAGGAAGTCAGGGGTTGCTGTATTAGCCACTGCTGTTGCGCGAGCGTGCGCTTGGGTGCCCAAGTCATCTAATCTTTGTCGAAGGATCTTAAGCTGCTGTCTCTTTTGTGAAAGGTCCGATTGAACGATTTGTTTGCGTTGGGGGTGTTTTATGTCTGATGAGCTTCGCTCGAGCTGGAGGAGTAGATTGCGGCCATATTCGATATTCTGGACAAAAATTAGTGACCGTCACATCGTAATGGAAGGGATAAGATATATAACCCATGCTTTACCCGGGTATTCAAATAAAGAGAGGACTTACAGCTCCAACGCGAGCTCTGTGATATTGCGATCGTAGTAAGGGCTTTAGGTCTGCTGAAGGCGATAGTATGTTGCTTTCCAGGCGAGATAGTAACTGGGTGAGGTTTATCGAGATAGTATTAGAGGACGTGTATGCTTCAGATAGCTTTCGAGCCATTGCGACGACTAAAGACCCTTCAATTCAACATTTGTCTTCCTCTTCATCGATGTCTTGCTATTCTTACTTTGATAAAGGACATGTTATCATACATTATGTAATCAAATCTACATATTATCATGTGACTCTTATCGATAGAGCAGCGAGATTTATTTGGTAGAAGAAGCGGTTGGATATTCACGACTTTCTATATATAAGAGGATATATACATGTTGGAGAGAAGTAAATGAGCCAGAAAAAGGGGTTAAGCTTGATCCTTCGTCTCCCATGGCTTTTCGGTAACGCCCTCGATGTAAACCCCTCCCTTTGGCCGCCACATACAAGCATTGGGCACAGGCAGCAGCTGCTCCCGAGCGGCCTCGAACTCCCTCTTCTTCTCCTCTGAAAGGCCCTCAGGCATAGGGCAGTCTACATCCCAGGCGTCTGTACAGATAAACCCACGGCGTTCATAGACCGGACGGCCATAAGGGGTCGCATCTAGCCAGCATTCAAGTCCCATCTCCTCGGCTTTATCCAGCCCCCATTGGAGGAATAAAGAGCCAACACCGTGACGACGATATGATGGCACCGTGAATGCAATATTTAAAACTAATCATAATAAGTTAGCATTGTTAACGGAAACGGGTACGCTACTTACATATGTGAGGTCTCCTCGCCTTTTTCGCACGAGGGGCAGTAATATCACGGAGGTACTTGGTTGCAATCAATCTTTCCATCGATCCTCTGGGTACCAGTCGGCAGTAACCTTATCCTCGTTGTAGTTCTCGAACGGGTTGGTCTGGTGAATCTTCCATAGTGCCGCGCCGGCAATCTTGTTATTTGCGTCCGTATCGACGACTTTTATCCACTGGCTTTCAGGGAACGAACTCCTGTACTCCTCTTGAAAGAACTTTATGCTATCCGCAAGGCTCTTTTCCCTGTCATTGTTGAAAATAGGGCAGTAGACGCGAAAGAACTTTTGATGAGGTTCTTCGTAGGCCTCCCATAGTGCAGTGATTAGTTCAGGGAAGTCGGCTTCCCCCACGAGCTGCTGTTCCAAATGCATGATTAAACGGTGATTGTTGCTTGCTTGGTGATGGTCAAGGTATTATTTTGATAAACAAGGATACAGCGAAGTTTCGGCCAGGCCCGAATATTTATAAACTCGGTTCTTCGGTACGGCAACGTATCTTGACTAGGTAAGGTGGAGTTGGGCGGCCTTGGTGGTCCCTCACAGTCGGCATTCATTGGCGAGGAGGAAGAAATGAAGAAAAGGATCGGGGATGGCCTGCGTCCCTCGGGTTTGGATACACAGGCGACTCGAAGCCAGGCCGTGGAGACGACTTCGCTGCTCGCAAGGATTGCCGTCTCGTCAAAGTCTTGAAGATTTAGCCGCTTGGCCGCTTCTTTATATTATTAATTGATCTCTTTGCGCTCAGATGCTGTTTCTTCGCCCACGGAAATGTCAGGCGGTTCAACTTCGTATATGCATGGCATAATCAGAGAAGAGTATGGGAAGTTACTAAGACTGATGGCGGATGGAATTAAATGGTATGATATTCATATTCGTTGAACAGAGTGTTAGATTAGAACTAATTGCCCTTTAAAAGTTTTTTAATATATAAAAACAAAGATGATGGTTTCATTGAGGGTATCACTCCGTTGTAGAATTATATCGGCCTTCCTAGCAGGGATAAACAGGAACAAGGGGAAGAAAATAAAGATAACTAGACGTAGGACCTAAATGTATAAACAAGACCAGCCTCTGCTTCAAAAAGTGGTTCCAACAGGCCCCCTACTAACGGTACTCGAGTACCTTTCTTCTCCAGTTTTTTCGAGACTCGGATCCCGTTTCTTTAAATATCTGCACGGATTCTTTCTGGAGCCGCGGTGCGGCTGGATTGGCTGATGGTGATGGTGGCTGCGAAAACTCCCGTTCGGTGAGTGTAGTTGTGTGATGTTTCATTTCTTCGGTGGCGGTAGGTAGTGGTAACTTCGTCATGTCAAATGGTTGACGAAGGTCGTTGGAGGATGAAGCTTCAAGTCGGCTGGCGTTGTTCCCGTCGGCCGTAGAAGTTTGAGTATTGGGAGGGTTTGCCTCTTCAATAGACAGGTGAAGCTGTAGCTTCTCACCAGTATGGTCGGAAATATGTATTGCTCGTGAGTACTTATTGGCACTCGAATCTTGAGAGGATGACATTTTGCGCCTCTTGAATCGTCTGATAATGGCGTATATGAATAAAAAAATTGGTAGGGCGAGTGACAGCCGTGCAATGGGAGATATTCTAGGTGTTGGTAGCTGGAATATATCCTGATTAATGGGAGCCATGGTGAGAAGCTGGCCAATATTTTATATGTAAACAAAGTCGATGGCAAAAGAAGTAGAAAAGTGTTTTTTTGCCTCTCGGAGTATCACTTGAAGATAACGTTGAGTTATGGTATACAAAAACGGAGGCAAAGGGCCGGATATCGATGCTAATGCAGGTATAGATTATTTATCCAAAAAAGGAATAAGATATCTATGGCGGAAGGCGACAGATATATACACTTGCGCCAGCAGCAGTTGAAGATCAAGCAGGTTCTCTGATCCCTGCATCTGAGCTAAAAAGAGAAAAGAAAAAAAAGCAGGGTCAAAGGGGAAGACGCCGCAGGGCCGGCGTCATCATGCCTCTTTCCGCTTAGGTGGGTCTAAGCACGGATAGACCATACTATGTAGTCAAAGTAGGGCCTATCTCTCACAACGGTAGGCCCGTTGGAGCTTAGACAATCACGGTCCCGATGCTCCCGAAGCTCCATAGCCCGCGGCTCTGGGCCTGCAGAAAGACACTTCAGCTTTGGCAAACGCCGAGACAACTTACTTCGCCTGGTAACGCGCAAACGAGGACGATCCTGGACGATTTTCGGAAGGGGGGATATACCACTCTGGCAGGCCTAAGCGCTGAGTAATAGATGGACGGAAACGCCGGCATCCTCTGAAGATCTCGATGGAACTGTTAGGTATTGGCTGTCCATGGGGTACCGCGTAAGTTAGAAGGTGGCATCAGAACGGCGGAGTCCTTCGCATGCTCATACGTAGCACAACGCGAGCTTCGTCAAATAAGACGGACTTTGCCCCGCAGCGGACAAAAAATTTCAAAGCTCGATCGACGCCACTATTCCACAGGGATGAGTTTCGTTTGAAATCCGAAGAAGCATTGGCTGTTTTGAGGCTCCTGGAGGAGTATACCGTACGAACCGACACAGCCGTACTCTCACACCATCCCGCACCCTTGCCGTGGTTTTTCTTGGTAATTCCGCGCATCCTGTCAACAGCAGCTGAGCCGCAACAGCCATATCACCACCGTACATATGGTCTGGTGGAGCGAGAGGGGGTTGGGGAAGCGAGCAAAGCTGACGCTCTGAAGGTTGTGATGTTAACGTTGGAAAAAGCAAAGGCGAAGTTCAGCTGGCGATGGCAACCTCCTAGCCGCCTCTGGACTAGCGTCTATCAGCACAGCCACGACAAACACGTGTGTTTGCTTCACCAGCCACACGCCACTAGCCACAGCGTGAAGGTCGTTTCGTACTATATAGAGAGCATCGTCCACATCGAACGAGCAAGATCAAGTTGAAAGTGCTATATCCACAGATAACCAGGCTTGGGCACACCCAGAGAGACCCAAGTTTATGGCCTGCCTTTTCCCCTGGGGTGGTAATACTGAGGTTGGTGCAAGGGTAGAGGTGACTTTGTGGCTGTTCAGAAGGATGACTGATGATGCTTACTAGGTATACACTAGAAACACAGCGAGGCAGACCTGTGGGTACAATGATTATGGAACTCTCTTTACTCTGCTGCCCAGGGCCAGAGTAGTCTTTCCCTTGGCCAAGAGGAAGCTTGGAGACTGGCTGAAGGTTGAATGTAGCTCTACATTTCCCTTCACTGTCCGAGTGTACGTGGCTTAAGCATATCTTGACTTTTGCTTGAGGCCTGGTATTATGATTCCCAATGAATGTTGGCTCAAAACTAAGTATTGGGGTATAGAAGTTAGGAGGTAGGGGCCAAAAATTTATCTTCCCGTAACTTTGAATAGGTCACCTTCAAATCTTCATTCTCTCGTGTATTTTACTCACATGAGGTACAGGTCGAGGCTTAATCCTTCGCTTTAAATATAGAATTAACTTGTGGCCTGCTTCTTTTGCAAGGAAAGATACAGTTGTAACTCTGGCATGCTATATTTGTGCAAGTAATATCAACCGTGCGAGCCAGAAGCTAAGTTATTTACCGAGCCACGTAGATTTCCTTAACACCGTTCTGTATGGTTAGGAACTCTCGGTGGGAATGTGTCTGCCTGGAGTCATGGACCTCTGCACAGCCTTTGGGGTGCTAACGCCCATATACGGGATCTGATCGATGCAACCAAAGCCAGGGTATCACCTAGTTTTCGCTAAGCATAATTTGATGAAGTATAGACTATTTTAAGGGACAAAAACGATGAATGAATTCTACCAAAAACCACATAGTTCAATTGATACACCAGCGTTTCAAAAATGGTCTTTTGCACTCCCTTTTTTGGCGCCAACTATGTCAATATATAGTAGAAGGAGAGCATCAAAACCCCGACTAGGATCTACTTTATCTAGTAGTTCGTCCTAACCTAAACCTTCAACTCAGCAAAGAATTCCTCTATTGGGCCCAAAATAATACTAGAAATGGTGTTAACTAAGTTCAAACTCAGATATAGTAGTTTTCACATATAAAGCTAAATTACCGCGAGGAAACTTGGTTGGCTAGCCATAGATTAAGAATAACCATCAATCCTTATACTACTGATTGCTGTTCATTGATATAAATATATTCATTATTGGGTAGGGAATATTCTACCCTTCTAATCCACGCGAGGGATTGCCCCGGGCCCTGGCAAGAAGTAATGATGCCCCTTGTCTCCCTGTCTCCACCGGAACATGTAGAAATCTTTGCACCGGTCAGCATCATAGAAGGGCCCTTTAACCGTTCAATTGTGACTAAGTCTGCCTCTATGACGCGTGATTAACATGTTCATGCTATACCAAAAAACACACTGGCTGACTCCCAAGTCTATTATCTGTGTTAATCCAGTGTATTCATCGTTTAGAGCTTTCCCAAGAACTTCTCTCAGCCTAACTGTTCTGGAATCTTCCGGATATGAGACACCAAGGCGCACGGAGGTGCAGCTGGGAAAGCCCCTCTCAATCCTCAAAACCCCTGGCAGGATATTTCGCGAAGTTCACTGAGAGTGTGAAGCGGAAAGAATAAGGCTACATTGCAGTATCTCGTAATAGCCTACGGCAATAGCCTACACAACAAGAAGGTCTTAATTGCCCGTTAAATGCAACCGCGGGTGAAGGAACGGGCGGGAGCCTGTCAGCAGACCCACCAACAGGCGAGGATAGCACCAGGTCCAAATTGATTCCCCGAGACCAACGTTCTCTTGATCAAACGCAGCTGAAAAAGGGGTTTCTTCACAGGGGTCTACATCGACACGGCAAGGTATATAAGGAAAGAACACAAACTTTTTTGGAGCATGTAATTCAAGCAAGGTCCGCGGAGGATACACCTCAAACCAAACAACCAGCGCCGTAGTTCTTTAAGTCATCTTTCGTCAGGCTCCAAAGAGAAATACTACTTTGACGGACAAAAATGGCGCCCTATTCTAGCTATCAAACTGTGGGTCACATAGCTTGGAGGCCCGTACTGTCAACGTCACTCTAGAGTAAACATTGGCGGGGTTATAGGCCAGTAAGTCTCGGAGTCTTTTGAGAGCCTATAGCCAGCATGGTCGTGTTTCGCACTTGAGCCAAGCGTAGTGATAATAAGGTTAATTCCGGCGTTGAAGATATACCTACCCCAGAACCAGGAAAGCACAAGTCGCCTTGGTGTTGGGCACCTTTTATATTCCCCGGCCGCATCTGACATTCGGGACCAAGGGAGATTCGTAGGTAAAAGGCACGGTTGATCCAAGTCGCCTACGCAGGCTGGTGTCACTTGGGGCAGGATATCGAAATGCTACTCCTTGTATTACTGCGGAAAAGTACGGCTATTCCACTCGTTCGAAGCCATTTGTATCTCATGGCCCTGGAGGAAGGGCAAGTATATTAAACCGCGATGCCATTTCCCGGCATGGGCCAAGAAGTCCATGTCTAAGGGTAATCATTCCAGCATCCAAGGGCCAGAATCTGTTGTCCAGCCTGCGGTGCAGAACACGCCCATGGAGCCTTGCAGAGCAGAGACTCCACTAGTCATAGGCAATGGCTCCAGCACACACGGGCAAAAGGACGGTCTCTAGAACAACATAGAGCTGTAATAAAGCCCTTAGGTGGTTAAACCTGCGCGGATAGACGAAGGCTCTCGATAACAGGCGAGGCTTGGTTTCCGTGAGGGGCATAAACTCATGTTGGATGGTGCATCTCCGAAACCTTTTGCGAACCCCCTCAGATCAACAAGACGACCTAAACTGCGGCATAGGAATCACTGATCACTGTGTTGATAGAGCTGTTCAATCCCTGTGTGGATGTACGTTGACAAGCAAAGGAAGCTCGCATCGCCAAGCGCCTGGAAAGCGGGGGCGCTAGACCGTCCTAGGAAGTTACCGAGGCTCGTTCCATATAAACTCCAGTGGAACAAGGTTCATCCCGGCGTCTAATCGTCGGATTCATACTTTGCTATGTACATACATGGTGATATTGCATTGACGGTTTAAGGATGGGGACCCTCAGAGAAAGCAGAGCCATGGCTCTCTATCTTAATAGACACGCCGACCGGCAATTCACTCAACCACTCCAGGTCAGGATAGTTGGGCAGGTTGACGCAGGCCTTTTCCGTCGGGAAAGCATATGTTTTGTGCTCAGGCTAGCCATGGAGTAGATTCCAATCAGCTGTGACTGTTGACGGTTATTTTCTGGTCGAATTCAATCAATATGAAGGCCTTCGAGATGATTACCAGTTAGCAGAAGTTATAAAAAGGACGCCGTGGCCTCACCCTTCCTTTCTCATCACCACCACTACCATCGCGCGTTCAAAAACCGTCCTACGAGCTATTCAACATACACTTCGCTAAACCGAACCACCCGACTTCAAGGTACGATGAAGTTCACTGCTCTACTTTCCGCTACCGTGCTCCTCTTTGCCGGTGCAATTGCCTATCCCCAGGTTGGCGAGTCTCCACCACCAGACTGCAAACCGGTTCCCCTTGACCTCTGCCATTCCAGGGACATTGGGGAGGACTCCCATCTTGCCCGTAGACAGGGAGACCCGACCCACGAGCCAGTCCGTCCAGGCCTTTACTGCGGTCTTTGCCCTCACCTCACCGGCCGTGGTGTCGTTTACCGCAACGGCTACTACATTGATGACGGCGGCCGATGCTGTGACATTGGTGCCTCTCATGTTTGCGACGAGAGCCCAAACAGCCGCCAATGCCCTTTTGGCGGTGTAGGTGTAATCTTTTGTTTATCGGCTTTTCTGGAAACTACATAATAGGCCAAAGAGGCATGGGCTATGGGCTAATATGTAACTAATACTAGATCGACCACTAGAGGCGGGTGTGGTAACAACAGCATGGCAGCTAGCAAGGGCTGTAGAGAGGAACTCAGCCGCTGTCTTAGTCTTGATTCAACTCATTGACTATTTTCCCTCTAGTGACTGGGGATCAAAAATCTGGAAAAATGTGAAAAAATACCCCTAATCAGTTTTGCACAACTTTTACTACAATATGTGGACATTGTTGAGAATCGTCTTTCCAGGGGCAGAAGGTAGGGAGTGAATCTGATATCAAACCTATGTTCACTTCTTATCTTCTTTTAACCCCTGCTCTTCAATACGATATAGTTGTAGTAAATATGATTAATTCCTCTAAATCTTGGATTTGATAAATATTTCACATTAACCAAAGTTTTTACTCTCAACTCAGAAATACTGTAAACGTTGTAAAGCGACTTGGTTTGAGTATGAAAGAAGAACGATATCAGTATTTGATCGAGGGATATAGATTTAAACCTTTAGAAGTTGTTAGAAAGGCTTATTCGTACAGTCAACTTAGATTACCCAGTTTGCCTCCGTCACTATTTTCCGGATCATGAACTGCCTCGGACAAAATCTAAAATATTGATGTAAAAGATACAAACTTGCATCCATAAACGATGCCGGATCTAAAAACCAAAACCCAAATTCAGATAACTAAGAGACGATAACGTATTGCAAGGCGGCACATTTCTTCCATGTCACCGGGACTTAGTGGTCAGGGCTGGCGGTCACTCTCAGCTGGAGTGGCTTTTTCTCCTCATCTTCAACGCCGGTCCGGCATCGAGGTAGATGCTCTGTCTACGATCTCATAGGCTCGATTATTGCCAACAATTATCCCGTATATGCATAACGCCAACTTATCGTGGTCATACTATGTAACTACTGGAGGACGGTCTGCCTCCCCAGCTTCTATGTACAAAAAATTTTATCCCATGCCTTGATACATGCATCATTTCAGCAGGATCAGGTATCGATAAAATTCAAAGGAGGTCAATCTCCGGGAAGCAGGATGCTGCCCAACTCTTCCCTTGGGACGTCGTAATCATTACACATATGCGCTCTAAAGTTTAGCAAAGATCTGGAGGGGCTCTTCCTGAGCTTCTTGGGCTGCTCTGTCTCTTAGAGCTTTCCTCAGGATCTTTCCGGATGGGTTCTTGGGGATCTCTTCGATAAAAACTACTCCGCCGGTGATTCGCTTCGTGGGAGCAACGTTCTGCTTCATATAGTTGATTATTTCCTTAGCAGTTGCCTTTGTACCGGGTTTCAGGGTTATATATGCCCGTGGATACTCCTCGCCGTCTCTATCAAACCACCCCGCGTTAGAACAAGCTTGACAACGCATGGTGCATCTGGATGGTGGATCAAACCTGGTTATGCCAATGACAGCCGCATCAGCTACGGCGGGATGGTCTAGAAGAACCCCTTCCAGCTCTGCGGGGGCTACCTGGTTTCCCTTTACTTTGATAAGCTCCTACACGTCAAGGAGAAAGCATGAAAGTCAGCTTAAAAACCTGCTGGTATGTATCATTGGCGGCGTGACTTTACCTTTTTCCTGTCGACGATGAAGAATTTCCCTTTCTCAGTTACGTAGCCAATATCTCCAGTCATGAGCCATCCGTCTTTCGTGAGGGTTTCCCTGGTCGCTCCAGGCCTGCCCCAGTAGCCCTTCATGACATTGGGGCCTCTGACCCAGATTTCGCCTCTTTGATTCCGGCCTAGTTCTGTCACACCGTCCTCGGCCATTATCTTGCCTTCGCAGTTCGCGGTGAGTTCGCCAACAGACGAACTCGTGCCCTTTTCGTTTGGATCCCAGCCAAGAATAGAGCAGGTAGTCCTGATAGACCGTTAGCCCTTGACGTTACTAGAACTGAGCATTTAGGGGGCAGGGAAGATAACTCACTCGGTCATACCCCAGCCCTGCCTAACATGAAGCTGTCCTGCGGGAAACATGGCCTCCACTTCTTCACTGATTTCTCTCCCCAACGGAGCAGCTCCGCTTCCAATCGACTCCAGAGAGCTCAAGTCGTAATTCTTCACGTGTGGATGTTTCGCCAGTGAGATGACGATAGGCGGAACGGCCAGTATCTCGTTGATGCGGAATTTCTGGATGTTCTCCAACATCTTGATGAAGTCGAACCGGGCCATGATATACACCGGAATCCCTCGTCGTAGTGCCGAGGCTATGAAAATATTCTGTGCCATGGCGTGATACATTGGCAAGAAACAAAGCCACCTGGTCCTGGCATTCTTATTCGCATAGTCTTTGTGGAGAGCGCTGGTCTTGTTGAATTGAAGGAGGTTAGCCACATAATTCCTATGGGTAATCTCTACTCCTTTGGGGACGCCAGTCGTTCCGCTCGAGTAGTTTAATGCCAGGGTACGGTTTGCTTCCCCCGGAGCTGCTAGCGACTCCCAGACGAACCGGCTTCCCTCGTCTGGGGATGCTATGAGGTCTCCCCAGTAACGGCAGCCTTTAGCTCCACGCCCTGTGCCGTCAAACACGGCGCTGTTGAATACAAATACCCTGTCCAGACCCATGCCGATGGATCTTGCTGCGGCAATACCAATATCCAGGCTCGCATCGGCACACAGGAGGTATTTTGCTCCGCTGTCCTTGAGCTGGTATGCCAATTCTCTTGGGGTATATGTAGGATTTGCGCCGGTGAAGATGCCGCCAGCCATCACAATCCCCATAAAGGCCACGGGAAAGAACAAGTCATTGGACGAGAACAGCAGGACTCGATCACCAGTCTCCAGCCCGGATTTCCTCAAACCGGCGGCGAACCGCTGGCACCAAAGGCGGTAATCATGGGCTGTGAGATAGTGGGTGTCGGGCCGAGCTGCATCGATAAAGCTGCATTTGGTCGTGGACAGCGGATGTGCTGGTGATTCGAATATCACAGTAGGCAGGGATGCGTTGGGTATCGCCACAGACCATCTAGATTTGAATGGCATTTTTGGATATGGATGAAGAGGTTGAATGATGCGAAAGAGCCTGTCAGCCCTACGGGGTTGGGGGTTATGGCCAATATAACCTCAACCTCCACCAGCAGGATGGGAGATCAACAAGTTTTTAAGATTACCTCTTGTTTCTTATTATAAGTTTGCGACAAACGGGATGGCGCCCCGGGGGGCAAGGCCCAGGAAAGTTGCGATTGCGATCAAGTCCAAGACGGCGGCATCCGGATGTCAAGATGCGCCGCAAGCTCAGCGTGTGTCCGGCCGATTCGTTTCAAGAGATGATAGTTATGGTCCCGTTTGCGAGCTTCCTTCACAGGCAATGGATCTACCTCACTAACGGAGAAGATAGATAATTGGATAGTATATATATGTCACTACATAGTACTACGTCTTCGTTGGGGATGCAGAAGTCCACTCCTGCGAGTTTACGAGAACTCTGCACTTCTACCGGCATGAGGAATTCATATTCATGCAATCTTCATGTGTTCCCCGGCATACGACAGGGCTTTGACACCGCTGGGTCTTCGAAAACACCCTGTCTGGGATGGAGAAGCCTCTGTTTATAGAGAAGCCCCCCAAGCTTCTTTCGCTGTGGGTCGAGGCGCCGATGGACGATACTCATTGGTACGGGATGGCCGGCCGAGGCCTAGTTTTATGTAGATGGCTTTGGGCTGCATTGTCGAAATTGGGTCAAGTCACCGGGCTTTGAACGCTGGTCCTGGCCGCAAGACTCTACTCTACATGGTACTATCACGCTGGAATAGTACTAGACTGAAGGTGGAGGCAAACGGCTAAGTTCACTAACGGGAGACATCAAGAATATACGACAGTTATTGAGTTATCAAAGTTATGCATGCTGTCTTGCATATCAGCCACGGCCCAACGATCAACGTCCGACAGGCGAAAAATCGGTCAAAATGGAATGTTCGCCGACAAAAGAAAATACATAAAAGGCGATTTGACTTCAACAAAGCGAGTTTTCTTCCGGCGCTATCTCGAGTTGTACGAAAGGCTATCTATCTGGCGCCGATTATGCGTTTGCTTGCTCGGTTCTCTTCGTATCGTTGATAGAAAAGAAAAATTAAACAGAACATCTAAAAGAAGGCAACGTTGACATTTAAAATGGCTCATATAAACTAATCATCACTCCCAGCGCCCATACATGCAACAGCTGTTTGAAGCTCCTTCACAATCTTCTCTTCTAGTAAACTCTCTGCACCACCGGATGCATCCAGAGGCGGCCGCTGGGACCAAGCAACCTCCTTCTCGTTCGTTGGCGTAATACGCGAGCGTAGGACTGAACGCTTCTCCAACAAAGCGTCGATATCGTCCTTCACCTGCACTCTGTCCCACTTCAGGTCTTGTATGTTCTGTGGATCTACGCCTGCACTTGGCCCTGCATCGCGGAATTTCTGTATAATCATCGATATCAGTGCGAGAGAACAGGCTTCGGTCGCCATCCCAAGAGATAGGCGTTTGACGGCGTGATGGCTCGTGGCCAGAGGAATGACGGTTGGGCTACCAAGTGAGAACCCGGCCGATGCTCGCCGGAGCTGGCCCTCGAACTGGTTGAGGAATGCGGCGATTTCGGGTACTGTGCGCCCAATGTGGTAGAGTAAGTTTAAGCACAGTGGGAGGAAACCGGTATTCCATATGGAAAAAAGCCTTGGTGTAGGATCAAACGGACCACACCCTTGGGGTTGACGGAATGCCTCGGTGAGTCGGTAGGTTGATAGCTTAACAAGTATCCCGTCTACTGCCAGCTGTTCAGCGATGTTCGGGATGCAGGATAGCTCAAGGAGATACAACATGCTGATCTCTCCGTAAACCGGGTCACCCTCGATGGTCAGTTGGTGTGACCAAGAGAACAGGGTGGCAGCATATCGAATGGTATCACTATCAATTAGATGGAACGCAATCTGTTCGTAGATGCGGTCCACATCCTTGACTTTGAGGGAGGTTTGTAAGATCGCGGTTAAAATCGCGAAATCTTTTGGAGTACATTTTCCAGGCTGGTCATGTAGATGTGTGCAGAGAGTTCGATAGCCGTTGGCAACTACGTTCTTGACAACATCCACAACGACAGACAAGTCAGAAGACACCTCGGGCTTCTGGCTGACAGCTTCAGGATTGACTAGGTTCGCACCTGCAACGTGGAATTGTAGGGTGAGGAATAACACGTTAAGCAGCAGACCGTAATACTCCGTATCGTCATGCAACAGAGCGCTCTCATATGTCGGGTTGCGAAGCCGAATTGTTTCCCATACAACAGCTAGAAGACTAAAAACTTCAGAGCCCCTTGACTGCACTTCGACTAGACGATGAAGTAGAGCCAAAGCGAATTCTGCTCTTATTTCAAGTAATTTGAAAAATATTTGTTCATCGGGTATATCATGAGAATTTGCAACCAGGCAACGGCGGACGACTCGAGCCATGGACTTTTGAACTTCACGGTCGGCCATGAAATCCGAGCAATGTTCAATTGCGAAGAATTTCCAGCTATGAAGAAGTGACTACACCTTCAATGTTAGTAAAATCAGAGCCGAACAGCCCGAGTAGAACTAGGCTTACCATCTGTGCTTCGACAAGGGATAGGTTCAGATTGGCCCGTTTAACCTCTTCGACAAACCCTTGGTCTCGTTTACCAATCCAAGCAAAATCGTAGCCGAATAGCTTGTTGCCCATTGGAACATCATAATAATACCCCTCTCCAAATTCTGGTTGTACAAGAGCGGTCCGCTTGATATTTGTTATTTTACTCTCGCGGTATTTCATCTCGAAATTCCGTTTCAAGTTCGCGTGTAGCGATGCATTGTAGCCATCAACTTCAACTGCATTTTCCGAGAGCCAGGAGACGAGTGGTATCAGCGTTTTGAAAAACGATCCATCTCTGACCTCCTTAGCACTGTGTAGATAGACAGTGCAAATATCAACCACCAGCGCTGCGATCTGTATGTTCATGCACTTTTGGTATGGTAGTAGCTTGTTGACATTCAGCTCTGTGATGTATTTTGTTACAACAGTGAAGAAATTTGGATGCTTCTTTAGCTCTGGTGTTACCCAAGGCCAGTTCTCTTGCGCTTTGGCGATAAAATGTAGCGCTGCAACCGCCACTTGAGGTGGGATAGAGGAAATAGAGGATAGCAGATCCAGAGAAGCTTCTAGGAATGGTTTAGATTTCATAGATGCCGCTCCTCTATCGGAATCGGCTTTCAAGGCCTCTCGAGGCGAGCAACCCGTTAGCAGGAAAACAGCAAGCCACTGTTGCCTTTTGGTTATGATGGAGGTTACAAGTTTCCAGATTGCTACCTTAACGTCGTCGGATCCGAACGGTCGATCAAATTTGGCTAGAGCATCTAGGAAGCGACATGATGAGTCGGCACCAAGGTGTCCAAGTAGAGAGGGTGGCTCTCTCTCCGTATAGGCGGATGCGCGAGACACCAGCAACTCAAGCAATGTAGCAATTGGGAGATGGTACCTGCGGTCAAGTACAAATAATCTCGCCAGTACAGGCGAAGCGCTGAAGAGCTGCTTTTCAAGAACAGAAATGGGAGCGTCTGTCAGCCATCCAACCTGAATTAGGATTTTAGCCAGATCTAGTGTCGATACTATTAATGTACCGCAGTCGACACTGGAATGAACCATGTTTTCAGGTACATGGGCTTCGAATCCGTCCAGTATAATTCGCAATATAGGATTAGCTGGAAGGCTCTCATTTAATCCTGGTCGAAGAATATTCAGAAGATATTTGGCAGAAGCTGAAAAAACGGCGGTCACTTTATCGTCGAGGTCCTGGGTATCATCAGTTCCGTAAACATAATAAAGAATTTTATGGAAATTAATGGCCAAGGAGGTGTTGATTTCGATCTGTTGGTGAACGTCGTTGTGCTTCCAGCCCGAGCCACTATTGTATATCTCCACCATTGCTCGGACGAAATTGAGTAAACAGGTGCGCATTGAGCGTACGGGAATTCCAGCTGTATATTCAACTACATAGGACGCAGAGGTGACCTTTGCAGTGGTTCTTCGAAGAGCGGCATGCGTAATGGTGTCGTCGACAACGGATTCAAAAAGCCTAATAGCTGAAAGGAGGAACGAAAGATCTCCAGAGCTTGCCTCTACTGAGAATATTATTTTATCTAGCATTCCACCATTTCCATTTGTTGACAGGAACGAGCTTCGAATAAGTGCGGGCCAAACTCTTCCGGGGAGGACTTTGGTTAGAGCAGCTATAAAATGCATGCATGACATGGTAAGATCAAGGTTTCGATTGCCTGAGCTAGCGCTTGCACCCTGGAGGCTCCGTTCAAAAATGTCAAAAACCACAGAAATGATATCAGCATGGCGATCCAATCCGTCACTGGCCATTTCCAGTATTCGTTTGGCAGACGAGTCATGTCCGTTCCTTCTAGAGATTGCATATGCAGTATCAATCAAGTCGGCAAGTAAACCGATGATATCGGCCGCTACTTCATCGTCAGGGCCATTATCATTTCCGCGGCCGTATGTAGCTTGTTCTAGCCACTTTCCAAGGAACCCGAGACAGTTATACTGGTGGTGCCACATTATCACAGCAGGCTTTGACTCGCTGACAACTTGGCCAACGGTAACCGCTGGAAGTACAGATAATTCGTTGGCAAGAACCAATTCATTTGATGTCTGCATTACATCTCGTTTTGTAGACGCAACCTCCTTCATATCTAATGGGGTAATAAGCTGAACGTAATTCGCGTTCTCGTCTTCTCGGACAGACCGATATCCCTGGAATCCAGGTGCAACGACCTGCGTGTAGGTGGTCATGGATTCTAGATCTTGACAGATTATAGGTAGTCCATCATCGTTTGATAAACTGCACCTTGAGAGAGCTCTGCAGAATTTCAAAAAGTTCACGGCCTCGTAAGGGAAACGAGATTTAGCATTTTGAAAGATTTTCTCCATTAAAATCTTGTCGTTCAGGAACACTGCGCGGGGATCATAAGAATCGTCGAACTTTGGTTCCTTGTCCAGGCTTTGATATTCCACTGGTTCTGAAACGATGCACAGAACGGCTGCAACTAGTTCAGGAATGTAGTCCAGGTATTGGACTCCAGACCTGATTAGGTCTAAGAGTTCTAACTGACCCCATTGGTTTACCAGATTCTCTCCTCCCTGTCTTGGAATAGATCGGAGCTGCTCTGACATGGCGAATATGAGCTCGAGCAGGCGACACCTGTCAACGGCGCTTGAGACAAGGAACCTGACAAAGTCTTCGTCGAATTCGGGGTTACGTGCTTTTTCCCAGACTTCCTCGTAAATAGATAGCTCAGAAAGGCCGGATGGCGCGGCAAATTGTGTGCTGTTGTTGAATGATTCGACGGCGTGATTCGCCTGTTGAAGCTCTCTGTCTTCTTTGATAGCTAGGGCAATCTCTCCTACAGAGTACATGATAACCGCCCAGGCAAATACGGCGGCACTGGCAGTTAGCCGGCCAGCATGTGCTGCCTTGAGGAATATCTCATTGATTTCGCCAACATCTTTCTGAGATAGAAAGTACGGCGCATTCTTTGGTTTTAACTCCGGTTTGTCTAGGCGCGCTGAAGACACTTGAAGTTTGAGGAACGAAAGTGTCGTTATTGATATGAGTGTCTGAAGTTGGGAGTATATGGCTGCTTGCTCCTCTGTTGTCTTATCTGAAGTTAGCTAATGCGTGTAGAAAAGAGGAAGAGCGCATTGATATATGCTTACAGGACAAATCGTCTCTAGGAATTCATATTCGCCCATCAACCTGAGCCAGGACAACAGCACCTCAGACGAGGGAATTGTGTCAGAGGATCTGATCTGAAGGAAAAGAAGGTTTAATATCTGGACCAGCTCTTCGAGAGAACTCGACTGCCAAGAACTTTCCATCAACATATCAGACCCTACTGACTTTGACCACCAACTCCCGGCTTCCAGGCCCTTGACGCGTAGTCTAAAGGCCTCAATACAGCCAGGAATGCTAATCTCGGTCTTGTTTACCTTCAGCATCCCGCACTCGCCCTTGAGGATCGCGCTTCCGAGCTGACCGGCTTCGACAAGAGAATCATCATCAGAACCAGCGGAGGGCTTAGGTAGCGAAGGCAGCTGATCTTGTCGTGTATCTTTTATCGAGGTAGCTATTAAGAAATGAGCCAGTTTGAGTATATGTCGCCGCTCTGATAGCCATATATCGAAGAGAATTCTCTGCCGCGCCTCCTTGGATATCAATGTATCAGAGGTCCCGGTCTGCGAGCCGGCGTATTTGAGGATACTGGCGGCCTCATTTCCGTAAGAACCATGCGGCGACCTCCCAATCCCAACGGAGTCATGCAAGCTCGTAAGCTCCTCCTCTGAAAAATGAGACAATAGCTCATTTTCACGTCGGCGTTGCCAGGCTAACACTACAATGCGCAAAGCGGATACTTCGTCTATATCGGCCCCCTTACTCAACCAGAGCGCGTCTGACTTTATTTCATCAGAAGAAGCAGATGTGTTTTTAGAGGATGTAACATGGATAGCGGCTGTCTTTGTCTCGAATGCTGTCTTGGAGGCACTGGATGGTTTCGGAAAGGGAGCGTAAGGATTGGAGAGGATGCTGAGCCCGGTTGGGGATGAGAGGAAGTCGGAAATGTTTTTATCAAGTTTAGGCTGGCCTTCTGTCCTTGCTATAGACAGGTATGCGGTCTTCCATGATCTAATCCCACCGTTAGCGTCCTGTTAATATTCCATATATGAGTTCAACGGGCATACATGAGTTGGCTGTCACCAAAACAATCGTCCAGCGATGGAAAGTAGACGTCCGACGGCGGAGCCATGAGCGCATCCAGCTTATCTCATGGTCCAGGAGAGTCAGTACAGTGGCAATGGTCTCCCCGGCGGTCGAACTTGAGGAAGACGCGGATTGGTATTAATTAATTAATTTATATTTGCATGATAAGGAAGAAAAAACGAAGCTCAAAAAAATGGTTTTTGGATACAACAAAGGTCGATGCCTATCTGGGACTAGCGCCGATTTTGATATTGACTTCACTCATCTTTGAGTCTGGTCTTCTTCTTGTATATAAAGAGACACGGCGAGCGGCGGAAGAGGAAGACTCTGCAAGATAGAAAAGAGAGAAAGACAGAATATAGATATACGGAGAGAAAGACAGAAAGACAGAAAAGACACAAAAGACGGAGAGAAAAGAAGTTTGAAGAGACAAGATGGCTCTGGTTGACTATTCACCGAACCACCCCACCCCCTCTGCACGACTTGAGAATGCCTCCAATGTGGTCCTGATCGATAACTACGACTCGTTTACGTGGAATCTGTACCAGTATCTTGTCCTAGAGGGTGCCACGGTCAAGGTTATCAGGAACGATGCCGCTACACTGGAGGAGTTGATCGCCGAGAAGCCCACCCAGCTCGTTCTCAGCCCCGGTCCCGGCCACCCCAAGACCGACTCAGGCATCTGCAACGAGGCCATCCAGCATTTTGCGGGCAAGATACCGGTCTTTGGGGTGTGTATGGGCCAGCAGTGCATCATATCTTCCTTTGGCGGCGAGGTAGATGTCACCGGCGAGATTCTCCACGGCAAGACCTCTCCCCTGAAGCATGATTCAAAGGGGGTGTATGCCTCCCTCCCACCGTCATTGAACATAACACGGTACCATTCCCTGGCTGGAACCCATACCACGATCCCGGACTGCCTCGAGGTCTCCTCGACCACCGATCTTGGAGATCCTGGCCGGCCGGATGTCATCATGGGTGTCAGACATAAGAAGTTCACCGTCGAGGGAGTCCAATTCCATCCGGAGAGTATTCTGACCGAACATGGACGAACTATGTTCCGAAACTTCCTCCTAACCCGAGGTGGTACTTGGGAAGAGCATTATGCCTCTGCTCCTGCTCCTGCTGCCGCTGCTATGAGCGGTGACATGAAGAAAGGCTCCATTCTTGATAAGATCTACGCCCACCGTCAAGCTGCTGTCAAATTACAAAAGGAAATCCCATCTCAACGTCCAGAAGACCTCCAAGCTTCCTACGACCTCGGCATCGCTCCTCCACAGATCTCTTTCACAGATCGTCTCGCCAAGTCGCCATTCCCTCTCTCGTTGATGGCCGAGATCAAGAGAGCTTCCCCTTCTAAGGGCATCATCGCTTCATCTATCTGTGCCCCTGCTCAGGCTAGGAAGTACGCCATGGCTGGTGCCAGTGTCATCTCCGTGCTTACGGAACCTGAGTGGTTCAAGGGGAGCCTGGATGACCTGCGTGCGGTTCGACAGAGCTTGGAGGGAATCCCAAACCGTCCTGCCATTTTACGAAAGGAATTCATCTTCGACGAATACCAGATCCTCGAAGCTCGCCTTGCTGGTGCCGATACGGTGCTTCTGATCGTCAAGATGCTCGCGGAGCCCCTCCTCAAGCGACTTTTCGAGTACTCTCGGAAGCTTGGCATGGAACCTCTGGTAGAAGTAAACAACCCAGAGGAGATGGCCATTGCGGTTAAATTAGGCTCCCAAGTCATTGGCGTGAACAACCGCAACCTTCAGAGTTTTGAAGTTGACCTCGAGACTACAAGCCGCTTGATGGATCAAGTTCCCGAGTCCACTATTGTCTGTGCCCTCAGTGGAATCTCTGGGCCCCAGGATGTTGCACCGTACCAGAAGAATGGAGTCAAGGCTGTCCTCGTTGGAGAGGCCCTGATGCGCGCACAGGATGTCAATGTCTTTGTCTCCAACCTCTTTGGAGCCAAGCCCGGACCATGCGCCCAAACTCAGGTTGCTCCCTTGGTGAAAATCTGTGGAACAAGATCTGCCGCTGTTGCCAAGGCAGCTGTCGAAGCCGGTGCTGACCTGATCGGTATTATTTTGGCAGAAGGACGATCGAGGACCGTGTCTACTGAGACCGCCATTGAAATTTCCAAGGCGGTCAAATCAACCCCACGTCCGTCACCTTTGAGGACACAGCCTCCTGTCAAGGGAGATGCGCTCCTTGCCTCCAACTATTTTGACCATACCACAAGCCTTCTTCGACACCCAGACCGTGCACTCTTGGTCGGAGTCTTTCAAAACCAGCCCCTGTCCTATATCGTATCTCAGCAGCAGAAGTTAGGCCTCGACGTCATCCAGCTCCACGGATCCGAACCTCTTGAATGGCCATCTCTGCTCCCTGTGCCAGTAATCAAAAAGTTTTCCCCTCTGGATTTGGGCATTTCTAGACGAGGTTACCACAGCCTTCCACTCTTGGACTCTGGAGCTGGTGGTACTGGCCAGCAGCTAGCCCTTGACCAAGTCAAAGCTGTTCTAGAACAAGATATTGGACAGCGTGTAATCCTAGCTGGCGGGCTGGATGATAAGAACGTTACCGATATGGTTCGAGGCCTTGGCGCAGAAGGGAACAAGATTGTAGGTGTTGATGTTAGCAGTGGTGTTGAAACCGATGGAGCCCAAGATGTGGAAAAGATCAAGGCTTTCATCACTGCTGCAAAAAACATTAGAAACACTTCGTTGTGATTTCATGGTACTATGTTTTTTAGACCAGCTATTGCTTTGACGATAGAGCTCGTTCTTTTGCTATTTTCGGGGTTGATCTGTTACGACTGCTTTATGCTTTCATGATAATGAGATGAGGTTAATTAGATTGTTAGGTGAATACATGCCTTGTTTGAACCTATCTCCCGCTGGGCTAGCAAGAGCAACCTTGCCTTTTCTCATCTAACGACTTTCAACTATATCTCTCCTTTGCTAGGTTTGATTTTTACATGCTTTCTGGCTGAGTACTCAGCACCTTCAAAGGCAAGATTAAGCCATTACAGAAGGCGTTACCTGGAATACATCGAATCGTTGGCCTCCGGCTAAACACTTATCCTTGCCATCATACGCCTCAGTTTTCATCCTTATAAGGAGGATTAAGCCCAACTGAAACACCCAAACTGAACCCAAACTGAACCCAAAGACATGGGCAAAACATTCAAGAATGTCACCTTAAGCGTGATAGGTGAATTCGGGCCCAAAGCAGACAAATTCAAGCAATGGGTTGAAGCCAACGGTGGTAAATTTTCGAAAGAAGTTAATGACCAAGTCACGCATTTACTATCTACCAAGGAAGCCTTCAAAAGAGCCAACACCGTTGGTACGCTATCCGGCTGAATTGCTGCATGATTTCTCGCTACATTTCTTCCCCTAAGTTTCTAGTGGTGTTTCTCTCTGTCTCCTTAACTACTAACAACTTATATAGTACGAGCGGCCAAACGCATCAAGGGTTTGAAGATCGTTTCCTCAGACTGGTTGGAAGACTCGCTCTTATCCAAATCACGACGTCCAAAGCGTGAAGGCCCTTACCTATGGTCTCATTTGACTAAAAATGTAAAGAAGAAATGTGCAGCAAGACAGGATGTGAACAAGGAGCCAAAGGCCGGTCTGAAAAACGGTCGATATACCCGCCTTTTCTATGGAATTCTAAAGCTACATGGCTATTTGGCTAATAATAATCTCCCTAAATCAGGCCTTGCACGGAAGAAAAACTCAGAACTAGGTGGAATACCTCTACACCTAAGCTTATGCGGAAAGCAATATTCTAATGACTACTTTTTCGCAGCTGGACATCACGTCTACTCAGATGCAGCTGGGACTCGCTACATGGCAACCCTAGTTCGGCCAATTGAAGCTTCTAAAGCAAAGGAAAAGCATGTTCTAAAGGTATCAATATACCGAAAGCCCCATGTCATCGTCAGCACTTGAATCCATGCTGAGTATTCTGTGATATTTATTATATATAGCTTTACGAATCAGACCATACTCCGCATATATACGCTGTCTTTGCAAAATACACGCGTCCAGGACGAGTCGGGTCAGATTATATAACTCCTGTAGGGAATCCTTTATCTACAGCTCTAAAGGAATTCAATAAATTCTTTCTCGGGAAGGCAGGCAAGTCCTGGGATCAAAGAGAGGGTCCACCTAAGCCTAAGAAGGGACAAGCTGATGGAAAAATTTGCTCATGGGATAACTGGTTTGAATATGTTGCTGAGCCCTCAACACCCGTTACTGCTACCCTAAATGCAGAAGCATAAGCCAAATTAGCAGCGAGTAGAACTATGGATTTGCAAGCCATAGGTAGGGCAATATGGATGACAGAGGGCCTAGGCCTGTGGTAAATATAGGCAGGGAAATGTCAAAGGCCAATGTATTACAGCATTCAGTTTAATATTCAATATGATAGTAATAATGAATGATCATACCACGTTCTGGGTTAATACAGGGACTACATAACAGTAAGGACAGCTTGAACAGTTAGTTACTCGAAGCAAACCACTTCAACGGCTCCCGCCTCTTCTTGAAATGGCACATTAACCACATTGTGAGGCTTTTGCTGACGTTCAGGTGTAAAGATATAGATGTTTTTGCTTTATGATAAAGACGGTATTATCGAAATTCTAAACGAGCGTGGTGAGATGTTGACATGTTCAAATTTTTCTTTTCACTTTTTAATTTTTAATTTTTTTTTCTTTTCGTCATATTTCCCTTGATTCAATTTGACTGTCAAATTTTTATATCTTTTTTTCGTTCTCATCATTATTGTCCACTCCACACTCGTGCTGCCCTAGCACATATCTATCACATATCAATAGCCCTGTAGCAAGCAGGTTTGCCATGCATGTCATCTGGTGATGGATAGGCTAAGTAAGAAGGCAGGTATTGCAAGGCTAAACGCGATTGGTCGAGTTCATGAGCAGATAGTGTAGGCGGGGGCATTGCATTTGCATGGATATATCTCCCGATATTTCTTCCAATGCGAGGTAACAGCAGGCGCGCTGTATATGAAACTGGACCAGGCCGATCGGCGGAAAGCGAACTTTTCAGGGCATCTTGCTGGGCCCAGGTATAGTGCAAAACATTCGCAGCGTTGGCAATAGAAACACAACGCAGCCGCGGTAATGCGACGACAGAATGAGCTATGGCGTAAGAGCTGCAGGTATTGTGTTCTCATGGTAATATAATCACCTATACAGCGAGCAATCTTTTGTATCCCTGCACATGTGGACAGAAGAGAATGGAATGAGCTCAGTCATAGTTTCCACCGACTTGGCTTGCAAAAGCGGTTGAGACACTGCGGGCATCATCGTCGTCGCCTGAATGCCCTAGATTCTGACGCGGGATGCGGATTCCGGCAGCACTACCACCGAAGACGCTTCCCGCGTCAGTTCCACCCCGGTATTGCTCGGGACGGCCGCTTGACTCGACGTAACGCTTTAGACGGTCGGATTGACTGAGACTCGTCTGCTTCTGAACGTCATGGATGCTTAGGCCGGAGAGACTAACTCCACCTTGGCCGACGGTACTATTTCCACCCACAACACTGCTAGTAACATCTGACTCTGTAGCCGCGACTGACTCTCCCGCAACGCTTGGTGCGCCTCTCATCCTGGAACTATTGGGACGACGGTTATTTGGAGCAGAAGGCCAAGATTCATTGAAGTTTTGGAACATATGGGGGTATCCGGAAGGAATAGCAACACCTCCCAAAGCAGATGAGTGCACTGAAGACACATCATCAGGGATATAGCTAACAACTGACCCGGCATCGTGATAATCGTGGGGATGACCATTTCTTCCATTCAGCATGCTACTATCGACATTAGACGCATGGTTGAACGACATCTGGAAGCGCTGTGGGCCACGGTAGGCTTGCTTTGGCCGACTGAACTGAATGAGGGATGTCTGTAGGTTAGAGAGCGGACCTTCCACGAGGCAGTTCTGTTCCTTGAAATGGCGTAACAGGTAGTTCCACAATGGATGTTTGGAGAGAACCTTGGGGTTTCCGAGGATGACCAGACCGTATTTAGCACGGGTGAGGGCCACGTTTAATCGGCGAGGGTCGCTAAGGAAACCGATTCCTTGGTGGTCGTTGGATCGAACACAGGAGAGGACGATGAAGTCCTTTTCACGTCCCTGGAAGGCATCGACGGAAGCAACTTCGATTTCCTTGTAAGACTCCTTTTTAAACGTGCCGGTCAACTGCATAGAGCTGACAACATAGCTGCGTTGACCTTCATATGGAGTGATAATGCCAATTCCGGATGGTTTGACGCCAGCTTTGAAAAAGCGGGTGACAATTTTTTCCACGTTGGCGGCTTCGGTTCGATTAAGATACGATGTTCCAGAGGCTGATATTTCCTCATTCCCCAAGTTCGACCAGAACATCATGGGTTTATCTGCGACTGGCCAGGGAAAATCAACATTCTTGAGCAGACGGTCCTCGCTAGACACACCGTTCTGGAGAGAGCCCTCGTAGAACATGTTTGAAGAGAACTGAGATAGGCAAGGATGCATTCGGTACTGAACGTTCAGACGGATAGGGGCGCATCCTAGAATAACCAGTCGTTCGAAGAGGGATTGGTTCAAACCAGCTTTGGCAGCCTTCTTGTTCATGATAACTGGTCCAAGCTGTTGGTGGTCGCCGACAAGGACGGCTTGTTTGCAGCCCAGGACAAGTGGGATCATACATTCTGGCTCCGCGGACTGGGTCGATTCGTCGATTAGAACAGTACGGAACTTGGATTTCGCAAGTCGTGGGTCACCAGCGCCGACGCAGGTGCAGCAGATAACATCAGCGTTGGTTAAAATCTCCTTTTCTGCGGCACGCGTGAGCTGTTTATATTTCTTTTCATCCTGGCTTGAGAGTTCACCCAATTCAGCCTTTAGCTGGTTAAGTTTGACAAGCTCGATATTGCTGTCATTGTTGCGCACTTGTTCGTGAAGCGAAAGGTGGCGGACCGGTGATTCGACATCTTCTCGAGATTTTGCAGTTACACGAACAGTTTTCAGTCCAGTTCTATGAATGCATTCGCAGAGCTGATCAACGGCAACGTTGGACGGGGCGCAGACAAGCACCTGGCCTGCATTGACCTTTGCAAGATGGTAGATGATGGTAGCCGATGTGACGGTTTTTCCTGTTCCGGGAGGACCTTGGATCAAACTCAGGGGTTTCTGTAGAACTGCCTTGACGGCGTTAATCTGACTGCTGTTGAGGCCGGGGAGGCCGGGTACGCTAAATTGCTTTGGCATTTGGGTCTTCATAGGCGCAGCGGCAACTTCGTTTCCCAGTAGACGGTGGAAAAGGTAGCCTGACACGCTCATCTCATCCACAGCAAAGGTCTTCATTGCGAGCTGCATACGGTCGAAGGAGGTGGCTTTCCAGACGTAATCCGCAGTGAAATTATGGGATATTTCTGTAGGCACCGACTTGTGGTCCCCCTTTGAGCGCAACTCGATGGTAACTTCATCAGACTGGTTGTTGGGTATCTTGATGACATATCCGACGCCCTCCCACTTCGATCGAAGCTCTCCGGCATACTTGAGTCGCATTTCATCACCGACAGCAAGCTTCACGTCACCGAGCTCAAGCTTCGGAAGGACAAAACTGGCAAGGTGTTTATTGTTCAAGCCAAGGTCCCATCGTACACTAAGGCCGTCTTGCGACTGAGCCTCTTTTAACTTACGGTCGTAGTCGGCCTCGATCTTGACAAGAGGGCCAAAGACGTTTTGGTACTGGTAAGCGTCGTCGTATCGAAGTAGAACCGGCGCCGGTTCATCATCTACGCCTGTGGCCTTCTCCAAGTCTTCGACGGTTGCCGTGGCATTCTCCTTCCACAGCTCTTCCAACTTGGCGATCATCTGTGGGCTGAGGTGACGAGCCCGGAGTTGCTCTTGGTCAGAGGGCGCGGAGACGAGCCATGGCAAAAAAGAGCGGTCTTCCATGAGTGGTTGCCATCGTGACGTATCCCAGTTCATGTCCTTTGAAGACGGCATGGCCGCACATGGCTGGCGGCAGAGCAGCACGACAACGGTGTCGGACTTTGCCGGAATAAACCCAAGGAGGAATACATTCTTCGTTCCGCAGTTATAACACTCCAGTATGGTATCCCCGAGTGACGACGCCGGATGGAGCTGAACTTCCTTGTGGCGGGCCCGGACCAGATGGTTCACGATATGGGACGAGGACGTGTTTCCACGAGCACTGCAAAACCACTTGTTACAGGTCAGACACTTTACCACGCTGCTGGGGTTATGTATGCCGCAGTATCTACAAGGAACCGTTAGCTCCACCATCTCCAGAGTAAAAGAGAAAAACGTTACTAGTGAAAGGAGATCCAAGAACCTGTACTTACCTGCATGCATGTGCGGGGAGCTCTTTTTCCTCCTCTGCCTTGTTTGCCTGCGCCTTGCCGGCGCCATCAACAGCAACACTGGCCATGCTCTCTAGGTCGTCATCGTCATCGTCATCGAGGTCATCCGAGCCCTCGTCTTCATCGTCATGTCTTCGTTTCTGGGGTCCGCCCGCCATATTCAACACGCTCTCATCGCCGTCCACGGTCGACATATCGTCACCACCGGCATTAATCGTAGCTGCAGAATCAGAAACCATATGGTTTCCCATCTTCGTAAACGCTTCCATGCTGCCACATATGACTTGGTCTTCCCACGACAGAGACCCGGGGGGCTCTTATTAAAAAAACTTGTCCGATCAACGCGCGCAGTCCCGTAAAGAAAGATAAACCTCTAGACGGTGCTATACACTAGATGCGATCCTTCATCAGTTTCACAGCTGCTGCAGGTATCTCCAACTCCAGGGAATATAATATATTTTTGCGTGAAGAGAAAATACCTTGTGGAGAGAATCAGCTCTGGACAAAACCTAAAGAGGCTGACTTATCGGCGGCCGATAGCAGGTCAGAAGCAGCGAAATAGCAGCAGCCGGGCTGTAAGAAGGAGAAGAAAAGGAAGAAGAAGAAAAGAGATCTAAGAGAAGAAGAAAATACACTGACGCCTGTTGGGTTCTTTTGTTGTTTCTTCTTCTTTTACTGCGAAAGAAAAAACCAACCGCGGTTTCTACGGTCACGCAGCAAAACTACTTGCGCTGAATAGAAAAAAAGTCTTTTCATCTTCAATTCACGTTCGAATATTGAATATCAAGACTTGCTAGAGCAGAGAAAAAGATGATAGTAAGTGTTTGATGACTGGGTTAATGGCTAGACGACTGACAGTGCAATAGAGACGGCAAGCACGCGAGCGCAGAGATTATCTCTATCGCAAAGCTCTCCAGCTCAAGGATGCATCTATCGCGGAACGAAGAGCAAAGCTGAAGGAGTCGCTGGCCTCGGGGAAACCGCTGGATCCGTCAATTGCGAATGATAGAAAGCTGAGGGAAGACTTCAAGTACGACGAGTCCCTTCAGACGGCAGATCCAAAGGCAAAGGGAGGGGAGGAAATCGACATCGACGATGAGTACGCCGTCACCTCTGGCCTGGTCGACCCGCGGCCGCTCGTTACGACGTCTCGAGACCCGTCGTCCCGTCTGAGCACGTTTGCCAAAGAGATACGTCTGCTCATGCCTACCTCTATACGGCTGAATCGAGGAACGCTGGTGCTCAACGACCTGGTGGCCAGCGCAACCGCCTCAGCGCTCAGTGACATGGTCATAGTGCACGAGCACCGAGGCACGCCCACGGCTATCACGATCTCACATCTGCCTCATGGCCCTACCGCCAGTTTCTCTCTGCACAACGTCGTCCTGCGAGCAGACATACCCAACGCCGCGCGAGGGACGGTCTCGGAGAGCTACCCGCATCTGATATTCGAAGGGTTCACGACCAAGCTGGGCAAGAGGGTTGTTCAGATCCTCTCTCACCTTTTCCCCCCTCGGGAAGCAGGCAAGGTCGGCAGCAGGGTGGTTACGTTCAAAAACATCGAAGACAGCATCGAGGTACGACACCATGTCTTTGTCAAGACCGGCTACCAGGACGTCGAGCTGGCGGAGGTCGGGCCTCGCATGACCATGCGCCTGTTCGAGATCAGGGGAGGCACGCTGGAGAAAGGCGCCGGAGGTGATGTTGAATGGGCGCTTACCCAGTACACCAGGACCAGCAAGAAGAAGGACTACTTATGAGCTATTACATTTCCTATATCAACCATCTCTTTGGGTCTAAGAAGAAGAAAACATTGCTAGAGGACGGTTCCGGGGGCGTATTAAAAGCATTTTTACACGGCGCGCTTGGAGTTCATTCAGTCTTATATCGGTACCTATCTATGTACGAGTCCTTCGCTGCGATCTATCTATATTAAACCAGATTCTTATTTATTATCCTCGACCTTGTATTAACTAGTATCAAATATAAACATAGCAGGGGTGGATATCAACGATCCTTCATCTTGCCCGTCAAATAACCAACTCGTTAATCGGCCAGCTCTTCCGTCCTCGCTGTCCTCGCTGCTATTGGATTGTTGACGTGAATCGCATAAGCCACAGCAGGAAGAAATGGCTTCATCCCAGGCTTGAGCTTGCCTGCGTTTTGGCCGTGGAAAGGGCGAAGCTATATTATTATAATAAAAATAATAAACAGCCCGTCTTTTCGTCTTCTTCTTCTTCTTCTCTCACCAACTCTTCTCCTAGATTCGCGATACCAACTGTGTGGAGGATATCTATCACATACATCATACATATATAGCCTTGGTTCAAGTGCAAATGGGCGACCCTGGAGGATCCTCTAAGACAAACCCCGTAGATGAAGTCAGGGATGAAGTCAACGAGGGCATGCCGCGAGTCCCTCGAGTGGTCGTTGAGCGCCATTCGGTCGTCCAGGGGTCATTGACAGTCGCTCGGGGGCCTGCAGGCAGTCGTGGACTCACCGTTGCCGACCTGGATGTCATCCCCCTTGTCGACTTGGGGGGAGACGACGTCGAACCGGTGCGGCCAGGAACAGTCCAAACGCTGAATTTGGATCCTCTCCTTGTCGAGCACTCAGATGTCGTTCCTGGTCTCGAGGTGGTTGAGAGATCCCGCCGGATTGCTCTGCTGAACGGCGCGGGTGAAAGACGTCTGTTTGGAGAGCTGCTCGATGAACTGCGGACGTTGAGAGCGAAGAAGATCCTGGTTATTTTCATCCGACACTTCTTCTGCGGTGTATGTGCTAGAATACTCAAAGACAGGTTATTTGATACATGACTGACCATTCTATAGCGCTGTCAAGACTACGTCGAGGCCCTGGCAAAGCTGTTCCCGAATCCACGACAAGATCTCCCAAACCTGACCAATCTAGTGATCATCGGATGCGGCGCGCATACTCTGATTGATGAATACAGGAAAACTACCAACTGTCCGTTTACTATCTACGCTGAGCCTACCGGGAAGCTGGTCAAGCTCTTTGGCATGAAACGCAATCTTATCGTCGGCAAGGATGCTCCAACCTTCTCTGAGCGGACTGGCTGGTCTTTGACCTGGCAGGGAATCAAGCTGGGCCTCAGCCGTATCTTCAAGGGAGATGCTTTCAAGGCAGGAAATCCCATGCAGAATGGAGGCGAGATTCTATTCGAGTTCGAGCAACCACCCAACGGGCGCGGGATACTGGCCGTTCGTGCTACTTGGTGCCATATCATGAAGACTACTCGAGACCATGCTCCAATCAACGTCATCCAGCGTGCCCTTGGTGTGCAAAGTCAGTAGCGTTGCCATTCAGCTTTGGTAGACGTTGTGAAGTTTGCTTAGAGATGAGGCTTGTTATTACTATTATTATTGTCCAAAAGAGCTAGCTGTATGTTGTTTGCTTTTAGTGTACTATGCTTGAGGCTTCGAGTGTGTTCTTGATATTGTTATCCTTGTTTGACTATAGCTGATAGGTTGTAATGAGAACTCTTGAGATCTTTTTATTCGAAGCAGTACTGGAAAGCTCTCATAATAGAAAAAAAAAAATACCAATAGTATTGATAATGATATATGCATCAACCTATAGAGGCAAATCGTATAGGAAGTATGAAATAAATGAAATAGCACCATTCGTTCTAGACCCAGTTAATCCATCCATCCCATGTCCCAGATAGTATGACATCCCTTTCAATGCACATTTCCATTTCCATATCAACAAAAACAAATATCAAAAATGACAGTAAACTCAGGAGGCCGGCTCTCTTCGATCACATATACCATGCCCCAGCAAATGCTTTATGACGAAATGGGGCTTCCACAATCCTTTGACAAAACAAAGTGGTATAAGAAAAATGAGAAGAAGAAAAAAAAGGGAAATCAGAAAGCGAAATACCATCCACTGGTTCAAGTTCGCGTAAGATAAGACAAGCAGGCAAGGACGAAAGAGAAAAATCAGTTAGTCAGGTATTCGCTAGTATTCGCACAGGGTCATCACAGGTCGTTATGTGAAAAGGGATACAAAATGTGACATAAAACAAAAGAACTAAAATGGTATTAAAAACTGTAGCATGGAGAAGAGATTTGGTGGCGAGTATATCTCAGATAGGTAGTGATATAGGAAGGTAGATAAAGTGAAGGGTTGATGAGGGTTTTTTTTTTTTGGAGTTATGCGTTGAGTCTTAAGGTGGTTGATCGCCCGAGTTTACGCTGGACTTGGATGAGTCGCGTTCGCTGGATATAGCTCGCTTCAGTACGGACTGTCCGATTTGTCTAAAGATACCGCGGCGTTCGTTCTTGGTTTCCTCGGTGTCAAATGGGGGTATGACGGGCGACGGCTCGCTTTTGGTCACTCTGCAGAACAGTGTGGAGAAGAGGTACTGGTCTCCATTACCGTCGTAGAGCGGTAGATAACGGAAACCCTGGGCAAGGCTGCTGAGCTTTGCGGTAAAAGTAGCTAGCTGGGTGCTGCTGTTGTTACCGACGCTTCTGCCATCGACGGAGTTCCAGACGACCCAGCGCACGAAGACAAGGTCAGGGTACTTCGTTTCCAAGGAGAATTTGAACTGGTCGTTGAAAATAGGGTTGTAAGCATTTCCTTGTTCGATGCCTGTCCGACGGCGGTGCGGGTGGCCGATACCAGACAGTCCGTTGCGGTCAGATGTATCCATTCCGCCTTCACCGAATGCGAGGCCTTTTGTCTTGTCGTCGGCACTAAATACCTCGATCTCCACGTAGGGGTTAATGTTATCGTTAAGCCCGATGTTTTTGGGCCTGGGCAGCTGCTGGGCAGAAATCACATCTATAGAGAACCGGACCAGTTTCCTATCAACTTTTGGTTTCAGACCCGGACCCTTCCATGATGTAGGCGGCAATCTCAAACTTTCTGGCTTCAAAACGTATCCGGTGCGGTCGGTTCCTGATGCAAACATGGCTTGATTCATTTGCATTCCGACATCATATGTCTGCCAGTTGAGAGCAACCATCTGCACGCTACGGCGCCAGAAGATGTTGGGATCGAAATTTGATGATCGGACGCGGAATCCGGAAGGGTATACCCTTGTCAAGAAGCGTCGGTTATGCGATTCGAGGAGAGCTTTACTTTCGGAGTCTCGACAGATACCTTCGAATGCTCGTTCAGCAAAGGAATAAACGTGGTTGAACCGTTTGCTCTCGGCGGAGTGGAAGCTATGGAACTTGTATCCGCGAGTGTAGACACCGAGATCAGCTAAGTCCTTGACGATTCTGCTCTTTTGGCCTCGTTTCTTCTCCTTCTGGATGACAGCTGGCCCCTGGCCGATGTCGCTCTCTTCAGAGGTACTGCAGACGCTGGTTGCTGTGAAAGCACGCCTACCGAGGGGAGGAGGGGCTGGATCAGTTCCTGTGCTGATTGTCGGGGGTGAAGAGAGAGGAGGAAGGTTGTGGGGAGGATCTTCCATCACTGTCGGTGGCATGAATGGTGAACTTGAGCTGCGTTTGCGTCCACCGCTGACTAGGCCAGAAGACACTGTAGCGGGGCCGGTATCGATGATTTCTTCAGAAGTCTTGACTTTGATGAGGACGCGATGTTTCAGGGCCTCTGGACTGGGTAAGATAGGCCAGTCTTCCCTTAATGACTCGAGGACTAACTTCTCCTTGAAGGTAGATTTGATGATGTTGGTCATTGCCAGCTGTTGTTCTGGGTTGCAGTGTACCTCAAGTGAAATAATGAGAGGGTAGTCAGATGAAAGAAAGGCATAGCGGTTGATAACCGAGATGCAGTCTGCGAACAGGACACTGGTAGTCATAGTCCTTCCATGAGAGACGATCGGGCGACCATCAGCGCCATCCCAGCAATCAACTTCGACGCAGCGACAGCCCTTTTGAAGCGCCGTGACATACGCCTCTGTGCTAGAAAAGCCGGCAACTTGCCTGCCTAGGAGATAGGTGTTGTGTGAACTGGAGATAAAGTAGTCATTTAGGGGGTGGTCGAAGTTCGGTGCTGGAACGTGGGAAGGATAGATGCCATTTGGAGACGATATCAGGAAAGCGGAGAAGGCATCCAGGCTCATACGAACTGGTAGATCATCTGGGATAACTGCGTCTGACTGGCTTTGCGACCTGAGCCGGGCCTTTCGGACAAACTTTTCAAAAATGGAAACCCAGTAATCCCTGTTACCATCGACATTTTCACGCTGGGTGAATTGCACGAAGTCTAGAAAGTTTTCCAGGGTCATTCCCTGCACGTCATCGGTGACCAAACGGTCGTAAAGGTCTTTGATGTCCCTTCGATATTTGAGGAGTTGGTAGAATTCTCTGAACTGCGCAAAGTTGACTCGTCCGGTCCCGAGGGTGTCGGCCCGAGCAAAGAGGATCCGCAGCGTCTCCTTGGAACAGTTGATATGGAGACTGTGGCATAGATTTCCGATTCCCTCTGCGTCAAGGCTTTCTTCAGCGCCGGCCTTGGCGTCTTGGGCACCTCGTCTGGACATCTCCCGTTTCCAATGTGCGTTAAGGATAGCTTCGCTTTCAACAGAACCGGTTAACCCTACCATGAGACCGATTCTGTATCGAGCAACATTTTCCAGGGTCGTAGTCCATAGCTCAAACATAGCTTCGTCAGGGGCGATCAGATGAACGGTCTTTACAGCTCGGTTCTTGGACCCTTCGGAGTTATTGTAGATGATGGTGAACCACCGATTCTCGAATTCCTCGGGTATCCTATGTTCTTCCCTGTACATGCGAGCATCCCCGCGGAGTCGTATCTCCTTGATATCATCGATATATACCCGCTTGGAAGGGTTGGACAGGTTCCAGAAGATCTTTCCTGAGTCAAAGTCGAGGTAGAATGTCATCGGTTTCCGCTTCAGCTTGTTTACCTTGGTCAACCTGCAGCCACGCTGGAGGATCGGGTCGACTTTGGGAGCAGCACCGCTGGCGGTGCTGGTGATGGATCGTTGATAGTCGCTCTTGACCTTGCTGCTGTCTGGGCCACACCATGTCCCAAGGGTGTCACATGACTCGTCCTCCTCATAGCTCGAATCCAGGGCACTATCCCGGGATGCTGAAGTGGTAGATTTACTATTGCTTCGTCTGAGCATGGTAACGGGGCCGGAGTCCTTGTCACGTCTATCCTGTGAATTCGACCGCCTTCGTCGAGTGAGTTTGTTGGCCGCTCCTCTTGAGATCCTCCGCATCAGGCCAGGACCCTTACTATTGTTGTTAGTATTAGCATTATTGGCGGCGGCGTTGTTGTTGTTGTTGTTGTTCGTGGTATTCATGAGTGTAAAATCAGCAGGATATGTTAGGCTTTGTTGTAGGGGGATAGAGAGGATTGCTTCTGGCAGCTCGAGAGGTCCCGGACTCTCGAGTGAGGTAGATAAAGGAGAATTTGTCATGGGTAGAGTAGGGATTCCCGGGTCTGATGTTTGAATGGGGCCCATCATCGGACTTGACGAGCTTGATAGATGATTTCGATGGACCAGCGTTAGGCTTGACATGTCACCCGACATTGGGCTGTAGTTTGCTACCGGGCGGGTAGCTGGATATGAGGAAGACATGAAATCCTGTACTAGAGGGATTCGATGAAATGGCGAGGCTGACTTGATGGGAGTGGCCCGGGAGCGGCCTACCAGGGCAGGGGAAGGAGGTGCGGAGGCCATGTTGAAGATTCACAAAAAAGAAAGGACCGGTATATTGGGAGAAAGGTTGCCGGTGCTATGTGCATGAGAGCACGTCCCCCCTTTCAGGGAGAATGCTGGTAAGAGGGAGCAAAGCAGACCCAGGGGTAGAAGTCTGTTTAGGGTTGGAGTACGGCGGGCTTTGCGGGATACGGGGGATTTGAAGTTTGGTATTTTGAATGCTGGGTAGAGGCACGGGCGGATGATATGTTGTGACGGTGATAGTTAAGGGAGTGACCTGGGGGAAAAAAAAACGAAGCAATCCGTAATAAGCGAGAGGTTTGTAGAGAGTATAAAAAGACAAGAGGAGCAGTCACCTTAGCTCCCTGGTCTGAGTATTTTGTAGTGCATATTGACAAGGAGTATCGTCCAGCAAGTCAAACTCTTCCAGAGAGCATTGGCGAGTGTTCGAAGGGATATATTCGAACAAACAAGCAAGCAAATTTGAATATGCAGTAGTTTGACGAGATATATCTGCTGCTGAAGTTTTTTTTTCCCTTCTCTCTCGTTTCTTTTTCCTGTAACTCCCGGGGCCTCCCGTCCCGGAGAATCAACTAGGTCCCCCAACAGCAGCCTTGTTCGAACAATTTGTGCGTCGGCGGGCACTCCAGGCGCCAAACGTTGCCTCGATAGTCTTGTTTCTTTTTCTGCTTCCTTTTCTTTTTTTGCTCTTGAAGTCCAGCCAGACAAAGAAGCGGATATCTCTTGCAGCTGAACTGAAAAAAAGGAAGAGTACAAGACAAGAGAAAGAGGAATAAGCTAAGAGTTTTAAAGGTGGTCGTTTTTGCAACTATTTCATAGGAGACCGTTAGATCAGGACGATCACGTCAAGAACAAGAACTAAAAAAACACAAGCTTGCAAGGGGTGATGGGATGGGGTAAAGTGCTTCCGTACCAGGCCTCCTTTAGGAATCTAGTCGCATGCAGAACTAAGTGCCAATTGCTCGTTTGCTTGCCTGTGAAAGTCGCACAGGGCGTTGATGATGCTGCAGATGGAGCGAACAGAAACGGTGGATATAAGACAGGACAACGGTCGAGGAAATTAAAACAAAAAAGTCTGTCCGCTGTCTTTAGAACGGCGCGCAAGCCGCTGGTATATATGAGAAGGTAAAGGGAGCCCCCCCGTCCAGGGTATGAATGCAAGCCGGGCCTTGCAGGGTTCAGCTATTTTTTTTTCTCTTTCCCTTTTGCTATTTTATTTTTATCTTATATTTGCAGGGGTGATGAGCAAGGGGAGCAGCTCTCGGTGCGGAGGAGTCCAGGTTCTGACAGCTTTGCTTGTTACTCTGTAATTTTTTTTCTTTTGCAACGCGAAAGTCGACGTTCAATAGCCTTGATATACCGGTCGGTAGATTGCTTGTACGAAGAATCCTCAGGTCGTAGTTCGTTTTTTTTATTATATGTAGAGTCTTGGTAGCGAGTATCTGATCGCAGCTGCAGGCAGGGGTGGGAGAGGTTGATGGGAGAAACGGCAGGGCGAAGAAGCAAAACGGGGAGCGAGAAACGGCTGGCTTTTTAAAAGACGAGAGTGAAGATCTGCCTGCCTATCGGGCTGTATCAAACAATGCCGCAGTCAGAAGCAGGAAATGAAAAAAAATATAAAAAAGCAACAGATTGGGCCAGAAACCTCGAAGAGAAGAAGTTGAACAAAAAAAAACACTTGGAGTGAGAAGAAGAAGAAGTTCATATTTTTTGCCCTTTTTTGCTAACGTCGGGTATTTTTGTGTATTTGTATTACTCACTGTGTACCGTAAGTATGTACCGTGTATTTCGCTTACATAACGATACAGCCTTTTTCTCTTCTTTTGGATATTCAATTGATCAAAATATTAATATTATTATTATCAATAATCAGCTCTCGCTTACTCCTTGCCCTGTTCTATATGCTGTTTGCTCGGGTTTACTCTTAACTTGTACTCGACCTGTATACTGAGTGCTCTGGAGAGGTTCTGGAGAGGTTCTGGAGCAGCCTATTTTCGCTGTGTCTCTCGGAGAAGCGGTGACGGAATCTCCAGCCAGCCGTCAAGGGATCCATCTCTGCCATGCTCGAGCCAGGCAGAAGAAGAAGATGGTGGAAGAGACCAGAGTGACGACCCAATATTGCGCCCCAGGCAGACATTTTACGGCTTCATCGACCTTGTTCACTGGTGTCACGTCTAGAGACAGCACCCCTGGCAGGGCCACGATAAGGCAGCGGCCAGAGTACAGCCACAAGGCAGAAGTGACGACGAATGCTTCCGTCAGCAGGGAAGAGCTACTACGATAAAAGAAGAAAAGAAAGAGAAAAAAGAGAGAGAGAGAAGAGAAGGCTTTGCCCCATTTACCGTGGGGTTCGACAGCGGGATGGCAGTTGTGTTCGCATCGCTAGCGTTGAACGAGCCTGTCTCTTGTCTTTCTGTCAATTAATTGGCTTTCCTGGCATTTGGATCTGGTCTGGAGAGGGCAAAGGAAGAGAAGAAATGCTGCATCACCTCGGGCCTGTCTCTCGTCGCACTTTGCTTCTTCCCCTTGACTCAATCCTTATATTGTGGGAGAGTTAACAGCTAGCGTGGGCGTCTCCGTCTGGCCATGGCCCATGGTTGAGCACCAACCCAACACGAGAACGGGACTAATATGTAACAGAGCCAGAGCGATGGAGGAAGAGGCCCAGAGAACCGTCACGCCACCTCATGCCTGGTCAAGCATGGCCAGATGGGAATCTATCCGCCTGCCTTGCTGAGGAATTGAGTAGCATTGCATGGAAGAGATGCAGGTAGCTTGTTCCTCCCGATACTCTCTTCTACCTGCAGCTAAGCTCTCTTGCGAGTACTGCGTATACAATCTACAAACTTCTACCGTATACTTCTAGCATATGTATCTGTATGTTCCAGAAAATGACCCGGCGTAACTGTTACGATACGATACTCAGTTAAGTCCCTTTATATTTCCTCTTTTCAGCCCTGATTCGGAAGAGTTTTTTACCAACTTCTGACATATTATTTTTAGTGGGCAAAAAGGGGGCTAATTAGACACGTCGTGGAGTCATTAATATAATCTCGTTAGGCCCGGCGAGTTTCACAAAGGGCAGATTTGCAAATACAAAAGTCGGCTCCCTCCGTTTATCCACTGGGACTCCATCCTTCCTCCCTTGTCGACCGCCAAATCGACACTCACTTGCTGGCCCTGCCCACGAACAGGGAGATTAAAAGTGATCAAGGCATGATGACATCACTGGCGCACCAAGCACATCACTAGAAAAGTGGAGCTTGAAATGAAAAGCGGCCGGGACGGAAAATTGATCCCATCCACAGTCGTTGAATAGCATATTGGGCAAGTGATAGGTTGGCAGGTTGCGGACACTATTGGATAGAACATGTTCGTCTTCCCCCCGTCAGAGAAAATATCGGTTGCCTTTAGGGGATGTTATATCCTGTCCGGTTTGATCGGCTGTGAGGAGGGCGATGGCGATGGCAACGCGGGAGATTGAGCCCGGGTAACAAGGGGGAGGCAAATCCCCAACAAGAACCGGAATCTCCCAGTATCCTGACGAAGAGGACAGAGTAGTATATGAAGCTATGTCTCTTTTACTCTATTAATTACTTACTCTCCTGCTTTTTCCTCTAGGTTAAATATCGGGTTAACATGGTATAGGTCGTTTACAGAGACCATACGCCGAAATATTTGCGTGTGCCTGGAATTGACAGATAACATACTTCACACTAAGGCCATCATCGACTTTTCCTCTTTACTCCGCAAATAGTACATCGATGTGCAAAGTAACGTTTCAGACTTGTCGAGGCTAGCAGAAGAAGATCTCACAACAGAGTCGCAAGTCGCAAAGAGACATGAAAAAAAAAAAAAAAAAAAAAAAAAACTGGCATGCAAGCTTTCTGTCTGGAATCCTCCTATCCCATCGACCTGCTAACCGACCCACCCGCTCAAAATGCCAGAAATGACCCTCCCTTGCTTGTTGCACAGGCGTAAACAACTGGCCCGGATGGCAGAGCCGGCCCGACTTGTCACTTTTTCTCCTCTGGCCCAGGCTGAGTGAGTTAGTTCTGAATAATAAGCGACAGCGGCCAGGAAGGCGGCCAGGCAGAAAAGAAGAAAACGGATGTTGAGCGCAAGGCAAAGGAAAGGGGGAAAAAAATAAGAACAGCTGCCTTCGATTGGGCTGCAGGTTGTGTTTCGTACATGAATGGCTGAAGAGTTATTCATCAGCCTCCTGGCCTACCAGAGTACTGCATACATACATAAGTGCGTACATGTGCAGGCTGCAAATATACTTAGCCATGTCCAGCAGTGTGATCATGTATGCATGGGTCAGGCATGTTGCCCCGCAGGGAAAGCAGGAAGAAGCCACTTAACTATGTATATACATAGAAGAACAAGTCAGGCTGGGCGTCTGATATCTACTCCTGCAAGGCTAAAAAGGCGTTGGGGCGCGTTACTCCATGCTGTTACCTGATGGATGGCTTATACGGGAACATTTGTAGCCTGTCCGCCTGGAGATACTCTTCCCTATACAGAGTATGAGCTGTTAAGTTCTGGTGTGGACTCGAGATCGTTAGCTAGGGGCTGGGGTTGTCAGAATTATTAATAGTACTCTGGTGAGTTCTTTTTTTCCCCTTTGCTCTGTCTGTGGGAGATTAGCTGGGCGCTTACCCGTACCCTGAGACATTCTCAAGTGAACAACTGTTAATCGTATAAACGGGCTTCGCTTTGATACTTCTCCTCTTTTTCTTTTCAACATTCGATTCGCCAAGAATGGGCGGGTAAAGGGGAAAAGCCAGCCAGGGAGAAAGAAGGGGACCCTATATCTCGTGGGTTTATTACAATTTTTTTTTTTTTTTCAAGTCGTTGCCCAAGCAGATCGCGATCCATCCTCTCGGACAATCAATCACATCACATCCAACAAAAAACAGAACTATGGTGCTCTTTTTTAGCCAACGCCTCGCACTCGCACATCCTGACCGCTGGATTGACTCATCATCTTGCTCCACAGGCTATTATACAACCCCTCAACAAGGCGCAAGGGGCACAGAGCAATATAACTGCTGTACAAAGGATACTCCATACGCTGTGTCAAGTTCGACCTGACTTTGTCCTTGTCGTGGGACGGGTTGTTACGTCTTACGTCGTATGTACCACTGGGCTGGGGTTTGAAGCAAACAAGATAGAGCAAGCGAATTGTTGTCCAAAGGCCGGAGATCCCGAGCCACCGTTTCTCCTTCTCCATGTGGCACAGTTTGTGGCGCGACGAGGGGCATGACTTGGTTTCTTTTTTTTACTCTTGTCTCTCTCTTCCCCCGCGGTTCGAACTGATTTAAATGGTATGCGCATCAGCCGTTGCCTGCATGGAACCCTTGTACTCCATGTATACAAGGGAGTACTTATCTATATGTAAGCAACCCAACCCAGACCCGCAGCAAAGATATATGTCATTTTGTATACTCCGTGCACAATGACCTTCCACGCAGGTAGTCGTACATATAAAGTGTGGCTTGCTATTGTCTTCTCCGGGGGATATCGATTTATGCAAGTACCCGGCATCCAAGTCCACCCCCGGAATATGTATACTTCACACGAAGTATATACTTATACTCCGTTCCTCAGCTCAGACCCTGCGGGAGGGAAGAGAAAAGAAAAGAGAGCAGAAAACAAAAATAAGGAACAAAACCGTAGCCTTTCAGCAAGCAGGTAGCTCACCATTGGATCCCGACACGACTACTCGCAGCCTCGTCTCGTCCCTTGGGGTAAGAGCTTGGACGAATCCCCCTTGCTACTTTGCTTTTTCAACACTCTTCCCCGCCAGCGAACTAATATATCACCATATCATCGATCTCCTTCCCTCGCTCTTCCGCATTAGGGAACCCGGACACATGGATAGATGGGAACAATACGGCCCACTCTCGCTCTTTCTTCTCCGTCATTGCTTCTTCTCCCACTCTTCCAATCAGAGGTACACGGTAAGCGGACAGTGACCGTCCGGCGCCTGCGTTACTCCGTATAGAGTAATGGTAGAGAAAGTCAAGCTCTTCTCTTGTCCATGCGTATCGTCGACTCCTTCCACCGCTCTTATCTTTGCCCATCACCACATCTCATGATTGATCTCACGGCTAAGACCGGCAACTTTCCGCCTTTTTTTTTTCTCTTCTCAGCTCCCCCTCTCAAGGGAGTAGTGCGATCATGCATGAAGAGCAGATAATCGATATGCAAGATGGACTCGCGTGATACAGTTTTTGTATTCGTGGTGCATCAAGAGAGGTCGAAGTTCGACCCAGCAAAGCAGGCAAAGCAAAGCAAAAGCCAGAAAAAAGAAAAGAAAGCAAGAAAACGCGACCCCAAATAAAACGACTGAGCATATCTTACTAGCTGTATCTTTGCTCTCTTGGCTGTATCGTATGATCCAGTATTCTTGAGTGTTTTGCCGAATAC